TAGTAAAGTGTAGTAAAAAAAGTAAATAACCATGAAATGGGACACACATCAACATTATCATCAATGCTCAAAAGAACAATATTTATTTATTTTGTGTGTGAACAACATTTAATTAAACACCTTTTTTTTAAAGCACACAGCATGTGATTTTGAAGACGACAACGACAACAATGAGGACAACAACAGAAGTAGAAGAAGAAGGAGAAGAAGTAGTTTATGACAATGAACATAGTGACATGTGTTTTTCATTATGATTAAAGTATTAACCAGTTTACAAAGCAGATCAAAAAAAGAGAACAAAAGACGTTCTGTTGGTATTTGCTACAAGTTTTAATTGTATTTCCTCAGTTTCACTCATCCGCTCATTCACTCACTTACTCACGTACTCTGCTGTGTGTGTGTCTCTCTCTCTCTCTGTGTCTGATTTTATTGAATATTGACAAATTGACATTGTTGTTATAATCAGAATTATTTGATCAATTAAAAAAAAATCAATTATTCTCATATGGCGGCTTAATAGTAATAATAATAGCAATAATAATAATAATAATAATAATAATAATAATCATGTTTTGTAGTCTAGTTTGCTTTTTTTGAATTCATTGTGTTAAGGTTGATTAGGAATCAACCAAAAAATAAAAATAAACATTCTTGTTAAGAATTTTCTTTGAAATTACAGGTGTTATACGATGAATTCGAACATGATAGAGCAAGAATTTTTTTGTCTAATTCATTTATAGTGGTACAATACTGTCGAACAAGAAGATGTGAACAAGTACATAGACAATAATATCACCTCCATTTTGTGTATTCAACAGAAATTTATTCAAATAATAAGAAAATGAATTTTTCTGATTGTTATTGCAAATTTTATTTGATTACTAATCATGATAATGATAAATATTAATTCAGTTAGTTTAATTCATTCAATGCGTTTTGCATGAACTAGCAAAGTTTCACTTGAACTATTTCTGTAGATTTGTTTAAGTTGTGTCGGTTTATAATAATTCTTTCAAAGTTCAATTGATAATACTGGTAAAGTAGTTGGTATTAGAAAAAAATAACTTACTATGTATCACACAACAACAATGAGATCATGAGAGGTGCAGGAGTTGTGGATGCAGCACACTGCTGATGAGTCTTAGACAAGAACGAAATGGCCATCCAGTGCTTCCAGGTTCCAAAGAGTAACATTGATCAACTCATAATTTCAAATGTGTAACATAGTTTGCAAAATAACTTTCTGATCCAATGTTCTGTTTGATCTAATCCAGAGTAAACATAGTTTTTTTATGTGAACAGAACGTGATTTGTAACAATGCCTATATTGTATTCGTTGAAATAAATTTTACCACAATGATAAGAAATGGCCAGTACCAGTCTAAAAAACAACATATATATATCAATAAAAGTATTTAATTTTCACAAAAGTAAACACTAACAAATATTGTTAACCGTAGAATATTGTACTGTTTTATAGAATCCAATTTTTTCATTATCAAAGAAAGTTTTGAACAATTTTATCAGTGTGAAGTTAATTTATGCCATAGAATAACATCAGTTAGCCAACTGTTTTAAAACTAGAGAGCACTAGCTAACCAATTTGGGTTATCTTGAAACTTCTCTAAAATGAACAACAGTGATGTCTTCTTGTTCAGTACCTAGGACATTCAGGTACTAACTACCTTTAGACTACTACTAAACCACTTCTATCAGTCCAGTCATGATTCGTGTTTTAACACAACACACTATTATCTATCTCACTTTCAACCTTTTTTTAATATTCATTTAAGGTAGAAATTCAAAACTAAAAGTGTTATAAACTGATAGTTATTTTTAGATTTCAAATTGTATTCATTGTTATTACCGATTTTAACAATAGAATAATATAATTAACAAAAATCTCTTTGATAATTTATTGCTTTCTTCAAAATTAATTTTATTATAACAGTAATAATGTTTAAATGTTGATGAGGTGTACAAATTTGAAAAATCATTCAACAGCTTAACACTAAATGAAACATATTATTTCTAATAATTATCTGATAATCATTTACTTTAAAAAGAATACACATCACGATAACTAAAGTATTCTCATGAAAAATATCAAATAATTACTTGTCACAGTTATTTAATTAATTAACTTGTTTTTCAATTAGAGTTATGGAGATTAGTGTTTTTAGACATTTAAAATCATCACTCAATCATTGTTAGACCATCATTAGAGAGCTGGAAGCACTGAAAGACAGCCATTTCGTCCTGGAATGGGACTCATCACCAGTGCGCACCGACGACTTCTACACCTCACAGGATTCGAACCCGGTACCTTCAGTCTTGTACGCGAACGCCTAACCTCTGGACCACTGAGCCGGCGTTCAACCATGTTAATGTCTAACTCTGATTGATATACAGATTTAGCGCGACCTCACCCATTTATGTTTGGTATTTACTGCCTACACCCGACTGGGCTGAACTCCACTGGTCACATCTTCTCACTAGAACTCCGAGAATTTCTTCACAAATAATTTATACATGAATATTTTGATTAAACTGTATATGATGAATTGTGCTTTCATTAAATAATCATATATAATATATCATGAAGTGATATTAATTAGATAATTATTGTAGACCAACAAGGATTTGATAGATTATTTCATTCTTGGGACTCAACTCCAGGGCAATCAGATCCTGTGATAAAGAGAAATGTCGCGCTAGTAAGAATCTACAGTTTTGGAATTTTAATTCATTTCAATGCAGTGTTCATTTCAAGCTTTTAAATCAATAGAAATCATACGAAACTATTCAATGGAGATTTTGTCATTGTTTCGTCTGTATTCAACCTCAAATTTCCTCTTTCGATATCGTCATAAAACGAGCCACATAATGATTTTTGTCTAAATATGGAACTGGACAAAATTCCATTGTATTACCAGGAATAAAAATCATACTAATAATCTGTTTTCTATGCTTTAGATAATCTTAATTTAATAGGAGTATTATTTCGGTTTATACTAATCAATCAATCAATCAATCAATCAATCACTTAGTATTATCTGTTCAAAACAGAGCAAATTTAAGTAATGCATATATAATATGACCAAAAAAGCGTTGATTGAGAGTTTTTCAGACTTAAAAGATGTATTGATTTCCTATTGTTTTATTACTGCAATATTTTTTATAATTTCGATTGTCTGAATATATTTTTTATTTATGATCAGACAAGCTATTTCGATATTGTTGACATTTGAACATGGAAATTAGGCGGGAATATTAAACTTGGGCATTTTTTTTATCATTCATTTATCATCAATCAATTCATCCTGTTTTACTGTCTTTCTCATATGTACAATTATGATTAGATAACAACCATTTAGACAATGAGTGTGACCTTTCTCATCATCAAAAAAAACCTTAAACTAGGTCTAAATAAAACACTTTTTGCTTAAAACTAATGTACTATCTGCTTGACAATTGACGGTAATCCATTTAAACCACTGAATTTGGATAAATCACTTTTTAAGTAGTGCAATATTAATACATAATATTATGATGTATGATGAATTACAATGTTTTTTAAATTGAACGACATTTCAAATGATGATTTACAAGAGAAAATCATTTCAAACAATGCAACAGTCATCATAATCAGTGAAAAATACCCTGCACACAAAAAAAATCAATCTCCTATAACTTTATCAGTCTCGTCGAGCTATGTTTTGTGGTGTAGGAGTAGGTTGGAAGAAAGCTAGGGGTGGCCAAACCAAAACATGGCAGAAATCCATGAAGTCACTGACAAGTGGACTGAGTCATGTTGGTAGATGGAGGCTACCTGGTTGGGGTCCGCGAGACGATGGCCACCGATGGTTAGAGACCTTGAATGATATGGCTCAAAATTGTTTGCCATGGTGCAGGTGCATCCAATCGTTGTGTTCTGTCAAATCCTAACCTTCTGAATTCTTCATAATCTCTCTCCTTCTCTTTCTAAATTTATCTCACTCAATTATACTTCTCGAATAATATCTTCAAATCCTAATCTTCTGTATTACCAGTAATACGTCTACTGTCTCTATCACTGTGGTATTTGAACTGACAATTGCATCTCTGTGCTAATATGGTATGGCAACCTGAACTGATGTACTTACATACGAAGTTCTGGCTGACTGACTGACTCCAATAACCAACAAACTGATTTACTAATTTTATTTTTTTCTTTTAATTACCAAACTGTAAGTCTAGAGATACATAAAAAATACGTTGGTTATCAGATTAGCTCGGAGAAGGTAACTGTGAAAATGATAAGTTACAAATGACGGTGTCATTATCAAATGAAACTCAAGTTAATTCTACACTATTCAGTGTATTTGATTCTGATCCTACAGTACCTAGTAAATACATATCATTGTCAAATGTTTCTTTCAGTCAGTCAGTTCCAGCGTAGAACTTTGTACATGATTATATAAGTTCAGGTTGCCATATCGCATCAGTACAAAGACACAACTGTCAGTTCATATCCCGTAATGGTAGCAACAGTAGTTAAATGTTTTGAATTCAACCGGGGGTAGATGTTAGTTTTGATAAACTGTAAAAAAATATCACCTATCGGATAAAACTTTATTGCTTCTCTCTGAATTTGTTTCCTAATTAAAAGATCCAACGGCATTATTCATTTAGTTTAAAGCATACAGATACATTTCATGTATTCTTTAGATACACAGTTTTCTACTTACAATAGCATCACTAACAAGATATGTAGGCAAAAATTCATTGTTATGATTTGCGATTATCAACAGTGATAAGAACTTATTCTGAAGAACATTATTTAAAATTAAAACGACTTGATCAACAGTTAATCTATCGTATTTCTCTCTCTCCCCAACTAATCAACTTATTCGTAGTCAATTCAGCATTTTGTCCCGTTATTGTATCAACGATATTCATTTTAAACAAGTCTAATTCATTGGGTATTTCTTTGTTGTTGTTGTTGTTGATATTTTTAGATTCGTATAAACTACTCGCCAAATCTGACGATGATGATGGTGATGAGGAACAGTTTGATCATTCGGATCAATCAATCGATCCTACGGGTGAATTTCTATCTTCAACTAAATATCATCATACACAAACATTAATACCTGAATTACACAATATTTATAGCCAACAATATCATAAATCTGAAATGAGCACTAATCAAATTCTATTGAATTCATTGAATATGCTTTGGTCAAATCCGTGTGCTACATTGAATTCTCCTGAATTAACAAAACTTTTTAAACAATATATAGAATTAACCAGTCAGAATATATCAACTACTACAAGACTGTCATCAATGCCTACAATGACAATGACTTCTACAATGCCAAAAATAATGAATACTTCCACTAATACTTCAACTATCAATATGGATTTCATGAAAAATAATGAAGGATCAATGAAAAATCATGGTTCCACAAATACTAGTCATTTCACTCCTCAATCAATACCTCCTTCGAATTTAGTCAATATGAAACCTGTCAAAGAAATAAATCATTCCGCAAATAAATTTACTTTAGATTTTACTAAAGACAATCTAACTACTATCAATAATGATAATAGTAATAAATTTCATTCTTACAATCAACACTCTTCACTGTATAATCAAGCTGAAGAAAAATCAATAAAAAATAGAAGGGAAATATTCAATACCGTTGTTCAACAGTCCAACAGTAATACCAGTTATATTACCATGGCAACAGCAACAATAACAACCACTACTACTACGACTACCGCTAATCATAATAATCATAATCCTAGTGATAATGGTAATGATGACGACAGACTGTTGTCACCAACTATTCATACAATGACAAAACGTAGAAAACGTCGTATACTATTTAGTAAATCACAAACTGCTAAACTTGAAGAGTGTTTCAATGAACAAAGATATTTAACAGCTTCAGAAAGAGAACATTTAGCTAGAATATTGAATCTGACACCAACACAAGTAAGAAGTTCGATAATTTATAAATTTCAGAAATATAATACTTTACTTATTTTGTGTAAATATTTATAGGTTAATGCGTGTGATTGTCGAATTTACTAACTATTCTTATTTGATAGTCAGCCTGGATTGATGATTTGTATCTGTGTTTACCGAAATCATTAAGTCAGTAAACGACAGGCTGTAATAAGGTGTTTCATAGAAGTTAAGAGATTGTCAGTTGTTTATCTGAATGTCAAAGATAGGATAGGTACTTCTGCGTAATTGTTTACCAATACAAAGTCAATTCATCATCATCATTTCATTCTAAAACTTCTGTTTGATCAAAAGAATGATAAAGTTGTTAGGGACGTTAGATCACCAGAACTTACTTGATAAAGGATCTAATTTTGGATTTTATGTTTTCGAGCATGGGCTGATTGGTTGACCTTGAGATAACATTCCCCACTAGGAAAATCCTTGGGTCTTATTGGTCAATGGATTATTTTAGTACGCTATTTTGGTGACTCTCACAAGGACGTTTCTATCATGTATAAATAAACTCGATTTGTTTGCTTAAAAACCTCATATTTTCTGGGTGCTTGTAGAATACACTCTCTACGTCTTGTCAAGACTTAGTCCTCTACTTAGTGGAGCCTTGGGATGCTCGGATTAGAATAGCCTATCGTGTCACTGGATCATTTGTCTTCGCTCTCGCTTACCGACTTAGTTGAACTTGTAATAGTTTGGAGCATATCAAAAGTTAAATCAAGAATACATTTCTACTGAAATTGAATTTTTAAACATAAAGACTACTTGCCAATGAAAGTTCATGACATGATATAAACGGGAAAAATTGCTGTTCTATCTTAAATACGAGCAATCATATTTATGACTAACTAAATCGCAGATTAATACCAAGTATAAACTAATGAGGATGTTACATGATTGCCTTCAATGTAATTTCTTGTTAATGTATACAAATAAATCAGTATTTTGTAGACAAACATATACTTGAAGTAACTAAAAGTATTCAATCAGTCTCTTTTAAAATATTTCAATATGTCGAAAATAAAGTTTTAAGCTAATAGAATTACTTGAAATCATTTTCGTCTAGTTCTATTATACTAAGTTAGCATTTCATTTGAACAGAGAAGTGAATGATAAGCACTGTAACCTCCTCCTTTACTTTGAAGAATACTTTGATAATCCTGAGTCCGTCTGATTACCATCTGCTTCTTTGGGCAACAGCAGTCCAATTTCTTATGTATGCGAGACTCTACCGAGCTAATTTTTTCTGTCCAGCTTGTATCTAGTAGGTTTCACTCATTCCAAGCACCGCCAGGTTTTATCTTTTTAAGCCCATAGCCAATTAAATGGTTTTTCTGGTCTCCCACATCATGCACGCATACCATTTACATACATTAGTTGTTGGTCTAGTTATCAGAAAGGACATCGGCTTCGTGATTTCCGAAGAATCTTGGCTTTCATCCTAAGGCATCAAAACTCTTCTAAATGAAGACCTTTCAATTCCCAAGAGAGTTTAGATGACTCAAATGATTTTTTTTCTTGTTAGTATCTTTTTAACAAGTTTGTTTTCTATGAGATGGGATTGCTAAACTCATGTTCAACCCTACCCCTTAAATTATAGGTTAAAATTTGGTTTCAAAATCATCGTTACAAAATTAAACGTGCCACACAATCTGATGAATTTCCATCAAGTACATTCATTAAACGATCTGATAAAACAATACCTATAACAGATTTCAATTCACCAACTTCTTGTAATTCACAATCTTTAACAACTCATACAAAATGGCAATCATTAACACATTATGAAAGAAAATCTTTATTAAATGAAATGTATAATTTTAATGAATCAAACAAATCATCCAATTATCATTATTATGCTAATCGATTGAAAACTCAGCATTGTGCTGATTTTAAAGAAATAAATGAATATAATAAACAACAATATAATTCAGAGCATTTAACTCAACTGACCAGCTGTACTGATTTATTTCAAAAATCATGGATAACCGATTGGGTGAAAATGATTTCCAATTCATATACAAATGGTAATGTAATGAGCATGCAAAATACACATCATTTGCATAAATCAAAAGAATTCGGCAATAATTATGATGTGTCTATGAAAATAATGAACAATGTGATTGATCGATGTCATGACGAAGAATCACGGATTAATCAAACTGAGATCAGCACTATAGATAGACTATATAAAATGGAACAATTCAAATCATCCAAACATTCAAATGATACATTATCATCTCAAAAATTATTAAAAATATATCAACCTATTTTAGAAACAAACCAGTAGACTCAGATGATCACATATTGGATCACTAAATCCTGCCTCATTGGATAATAATATTCTGTGCAAAAGGGTTCTGTAGTTTTTCAAACATACATAAATCCTAGAATTATCAAATGAAAATGAGCTATTATACATTCCACATGATTTTCGTTGAGAAGTATCAAATTTTTAATCAAACTAAATGATAGATTTTTTTCTTGTTTAAGAAAATTAATTCATTTTATTGTTTACTTTTAAAACTAAAAACGATGATCTATCATCTTGACACACAGTCCTAACTGAATTGTATTTCCATAATTGAATGTTTATAATTTATGCTACTTGTAAGTAGTTAGATTAATTCTATATCTTTTTTCCGTAGCTAAAAAATAAAATGCAATTTATGGAATGTTATAAAATTTGTCACAGCATTACCTTCAAAAGTGAAGTTTATAATTACTACTTCGTCAATTAATATGATATAGCCTGAAGAGTAGATCATGGATAGTTCAGTAAACTTCATTGATTTATAGGGTCCAGCAGGTAGTGAGTGTAACACTAACTTGTATGATTATCATTATAAGTAGAATCACTAGCTAAGAACATAAAATGACGGTGAAGCGACAATAAAATAATTGATAATTCAAGTCACAGAAATTATTTACTTTCACTTAGAACAGAATTGCTACAATTTCTGTATGTCGACACTAAAAGTAGTTCAGTTAATATACATGTTCCACGACTACATTATATATGGTTGGCTTCATGAAAGATTTTTAGTGGCTGCATTGAACACAATGTAGATCTCACCGATTTAGTGGCCAGTGATCTAACTCTGAACAATTAATTATGTTATGAAATAAATCTGCCATTCAGTGCCCGTATGTCGTACTTAGGCGAACCTTGTTTGTGCAACTGCAGTAATTAGAAGCCAAATACGGATTCGGTTGGATACGTTTACTTCAAGCAATTGTTAACGCAGGCAGACATGAGAATAAAAAGTTTACAACCAAAGCAAAGCGTGGTAACGGGACACCCGACTTCCATGAGAAGAAACATTCATGGTTAGACCAAAGTAAGCCAGACATGTAATATGAGAAGTGGGTATGAACAAACACACAATCGAATAAAAACAACTAATGTTATAAGTGAATGGTTGACTAAGACGAAAGAATAACTCGAGAAGAATGGAATATTCAAGGGCTAAGACAAGCGCTGTAAGCTCAACGTAAAAGTACAAATACTACAGACAATAATAAAATGTATTTCTTAGTTTTTAAGCACTTTGTTATACAAGCTCATGAACAGTAAACTCCGGGAAAATCAATCTAGTTTCACATCTGGATGTGCCGAAATATTCATACTTCGTTTGATCCTAGAATATAGATATATGTGCAGATGCATTACCAAGATAGTATTTCTTAAACTAAATACAGGATTCGCCGATCGGAAAGTTGCAAGAGAAACTAAGTGAATACGCCTTGAGAAGACACCATGCTGGAAAAGACTGATCTCGTACCGCAAAACCTACATGTCGACTTGCAGAACGCATATGATATAGTTGTGTTTGGCGATGCTGACAAAATGCAGTGAATTTTTCGCTCGTTCATTATTATATGTTGTCTTAAGACTTGTTTGCAACGTAGATTGATCAGAGAACATGAAATAATTGAAGGCATCAATTATTTCACTTACTTTGGAAATCTCATTATCTCCAATGGCTTGATATCTGATGAAGCCCAAGCACAGATTCAGAAAATCTGCTTGGTTTTTCCCAACGTACGATGACTTTTATAGACAAAACGTTCAACCAATGAACGAACATACTGCGCAGTAGCCACTGTGTATTATTTATAATGATAAATCATAGTCTATGAAAGTAGAAGATACATCTTCGAAGCGCTGCTTCCTTATGCTACTAACCACGGCTAATACAAACTTTGACACTAGAACGAGTAGAAGCGCCCTTTCCCTCAACAGTCGGCAGAAATATTTACCGGTGTCGAAATGTAAAAGGAAATTGTGTGTATTTAAAGTTTTTCGTATAGACTGAAGACATTAAACCATCCAATCACCGCATGCCACGTCAATACTCTAAGAATTCTATTCAACTGTGATTGAATGGAATCCCCTCAGTTTCTTAAGAGCCTCTTGGAACCACACCCCAAAACCCTATGAAGAAACGACAGTGAGTAGTGCTGAGATATACATAGGTTACTTAGAAAAAATCGCAAATCGGTTGAAAGCGTAGTGACTTTTAGACTAAGATGGATGGAACATGTGTAACGTAAAGTATCACCAGCCATTGCTTATCTCGACATGCAATGTTAGCTGATCTAAGAATAAGTTGATACAAAGGTATGAGAAATCGAAGGGAAAAATAGCGTCCGTCTACAAAGTAATTGGCTTTTGAATTAAACCATTATGGTTGTAGGTGTTGAGTTGTTGCCGATTACCACAACTGACAGTTGGAAATGCTGAGTGACATAGTTCAGAATTGGTTACAAGGAATTAAAAACGACCAGACATTCTATATTTCCATTTTGTAACAAAATATATATCACCAATCCTATCATGTGTATACAATTAACCAATAAGTCAGAAATTAGAAGAAAAGAAAAAGCTTCCGAAATATCAAACATATATCACTTTCTTTTCCATTTGACCTAAATGAAATCTTTTGATTGAATTAATCACAAACAGGTTGGTTGGATGTCAAATTTAAAAAATATATATATATAAATGAGAATAGAAAAAAGAAACAGAGCTAAATTATAAAAAAACCTAACAAACCATGTAAGAAACAGGTAGATGAGGATTCATTCCGAAAGCCATTACAAAATAGTAATAATAATAATAAGTTACATGAATCTAGAAAAATCTGAAACAATTACTGATAGAGAAGTGGAAGAAAGAGTCATGTGTTATCGTAGATAGAAGAAACAAAGAGATCTTGAATAAACAAAATACAGAACTGTACATAGTGGCAGAAATATATATATATATATATATATATATATATATATATATATATATATATATATATTCTATCGGATAGCGCAGAACAATTCTAATTTGAAGATTGTCTAGAAACATTGACAATAATAATAATAATAATAAAAACAAAACAAGAATTATTTAAGATAAACATCCAGCAACTGCAGCCACTTTACTAGGATTTGATATTTCTTCACCAAGAGAATTCAATATTTCACGACGATAATCATCGAAATCACCATCGATTTCATTAATGCCAAGATCTTCTATAACCCATAAAATACAATTTGTATCGCGAATTAAACGTTCATCGTGACTGACAACAATAACACCTAGGAGTAGGAAAATAAAATAAAATAAGCATTACTCCATATATATATATATATATATATATATATATATATATATATAAGAGTAAAGCATAAGATTTGAATAAGTGTAAAAATCTTACAAAAATATTCTATGCTAATTTTGTTGAAAACTCATTCAGTTAATGTATGAACAAGTGATAAGAATTGAATAATTAACGAGTATACTATGATTAAAATGTAGAATTTCGGTTATCGAAGAATATAAATTGTAGTCTAGAAGTCAGTTACAACATAGAACTTCGTACATGCATATATTAGTTCAGGTTGCCATATTTGCATTAGCACAGAGACACAATTGTCAGTTGAAATCCCATAGTGGTAGAGATAGTAGAAGTAATAGTGGTAGTGGAGAAGATTAAGCTTCGAAGATACTATTCAAGAAGTATTGTGGGCAATCAAAGTGTGGCTGAAGACCAGTTGAATTGATCCCTGAAGTATTCTGCTCATCGATCTGATCTCCTGGGTTGAGAATGAATGATAAAACCATCCTTTTCTGAAATAGTTTTGCGAACAGATGGATTTCTAACACATGTTTCCTTGATAAGGCGAAACCACTGTCTACGGTTACCTATCGCCGCTGCCTTTTCCATCGCTCGTGCTTTCGCTACCCACCACTGTTCGCAATCATTGCGTAGGCTTTTTATCAGCCTGTGCTTAAGCTAACTTCGCTCTTCATCATGTTCAGAGTCAGGTGGGATGAGTTTCCGAGCGTCTATCGGTTTGGTAAAGGAACAAGAAATAGAATATTACGATGAAGAAAACTGTAATATAAACATAGTCTGAACTTTTAAAATTTCACAGTTTTTTAATATTTACTTGACTTGAAATGACACCTTACGTATGAGAGCTAAGAATACTATTCATTTGTTTGAAATGAATTAAGTGGAGCGGAATTCAAACTCACAACTTTACAATTGAAAATTGAATATATTAATGATAACATTATAAAATATATGAAATTGTTTAAAAAGTGTTTTTGTTTAATTCACCTCCTTCAAATTCATTGATAGCATCCGCCAATGCATCAATCGATTCAATGTCTAAATTATTTGTCGGTTCATCTAAAATTAAAACATCTGGAGCACGACGTGATAATTCAGCGAAAGCAACACGAGCACGTTGTCCACCTGATAGATCAGCATTAGGAATCACATGTGCATGAGCTTCTAAACCAAATTTACCCAATGTTGCACGAGCATCCTAAAAATTAAAGAAAGTTAAATTTGTTGAAAAAAAAAATTAATTAAAAACAATTTGACATATATTACATAAATACATGAAGGAGATGCGTCTTTATTCGATAGTGTACTGTTGTTATCTGTTTATGCAAGCGTTCAGTTTAAACAGAGAAGAGGTGAAGGGAAAAAGTATTTTGAACGTTAACTCAACCATACAGTTTTGATTTTGTTGTGGATGAAACAGGAACTTGAGTTTCATGAAAACCGAAGAATATTTAGAAACAGATCAGAAGTGCTCCACTTTTTATAGATGCTATTTTCCTACATCATTGAGTGAAGATGATATGCTGGGCAAGAATTATACCTAACAACCAGGTTTCAATACAGCACACAGTGAGCGAGTGAGTGATCTATAAAAATTATTTGCATGTAAGCACATTACTTATTACACACAAAATAAAACACAGATTGACGGCTGTCATGTTAGGATAAGAATGCTGGAGGCGTTGCAATCTCTGAACTCAGTTTAGAAGAGAAGAAAATCCATAATCCGTTGACAATTGGTGGTCTAAATCGTTAAATTTAATTTTGCGGACATTTATCATTTGATCATATTATGTTGTGGTATTTTATCCAGCGAACAACATTCCATTCTGTTAGGATATTTATCCAATATCCTAAGATAGTTGTTCGTAAGTCTAATCCTATTGGTCGTCTTAACTATCAATGTCACATACTCCAAATGTTGTTCCCTATTCGACCTAACTGTATAAATACGCAGTATCTGTGACGTTTTATGACCCGGACCAGGATTCTCTTCTGGACTCGAACCTCGTACTTTCTGGATGCTTGTAGAATACAAGTTCTACTTCATATCAAGTCTTCTTTTACTCAGTGGGGGTTTGGGATGCTTGGATTAGAGTAGCATGTTGTGTCGCTGGATCCTCGCTCTCATTTACTGACTAAAGTGAACTCGTAATAGTTTAAGCATATCAAAATGACGTGTTTACGTGCATGTGTAACACATTCATCCTTTCTAAAAAAACTACAACTTTTTTTGCTCAGCTGCCAGATCTTAATTCATTACAAATTTACTATTGTTACTTGTATCACATACAAAGCTAGATAATCTCGAAACTTGTCTTGCAAACAAAACGAAAAGATTAAACAGAGTTTTCAAGTCATCTAAGACTAAGGTATATGGTATAAACAATTCAATTAGTGTTCGATTTGGTTATTTTTGCACTACATTACACCGTTGTTAATAAAATTTACAAATCAACATTTTAAATAACAATTAATAAGGAATTGAGCATTTATTCATCATGTTGTATGAAATTTACTTGATAAGTTAAATTGAAAAGACGTTGTAAATATTCCGTTGGTGTTTCGCTTAGATTTAATTGATCAGCAGAGTGTTGATCATATTTGCCAATTTTAACACGATGATTTAATCGACGTTCACCATCAGTCTAAAATAGGAAGAAAAAAAAGAGAATAAATTCAATGAGACAATGTGAGATAGGAGAAAAAAAGAAATTAAAATAGTTTATGAAAATTTAACAAAAAAAACATAATACTACCTTACCGGTTGTATTTCACCTGTGAGTAATTTTAAAAATGTGGATTTGCCAACACCATTTGGACCAACAATTGAAATTCTTGAACTCATATCTATGCCAAAATTTAATTCTTTAAATAAAGGTTTTTGATTTGGATAAGCAAATGTAACACTGTACAGACCGAGGATAGGCGGTGAAATAGGAGTTGGATTTGGAAATGTGAACTAAAAATACAACAAATTAGAGTAGAATAAGAAAACCTATGTCAAATACATAATAGTTATATGTAGAAACAAGTATTAGATTAATATATGAAAACCATAACTGCTTATATGAGCATTTCAATAAATTTGTACAATGTAATTTCACTATAAAATATTGTCAGTCATATTGTTTCAATTGAGATGAGTGAATGTTAAATTTAAATAGATGAACTTTGTTAAACGTTTGATAAAATTCAGAACAATAGATGAGTGAGTGAGTCTTCATCAGTTGAGTTGGTTAGGACACGTATTACGTATGTCTAAACACAGAGTGCCTCCACGAGCAATGTGCTGTGATGGCACAAATCCATGAAGTCATTGACAAATGGATTGAGCTATGTTAATAGGTGCGAACTACTTGTTTGGAGTCGGCAAGACGATAGTAACCGATGGTTAGAGACTTTGAATGATAGCTTAAAATCGCTCCCAATGGAGCTGGTGCATCCATTCTTTATCTTCTCTTGAAGTCTAAGCTTCTGAATTCCTCACGACTGCTTTTTTTCGCTTTTTAAATTTATTTTAATGGAATATACGTTTTGAATAATATCTTCGAACCCTAATCTCACCGATTACTGCTACTACATCTACCACTATGAGAACTGAATCGACAATTTCATCTCCGTGTGTCAATGTGATATTGGCAACCTGAACTGATATACGTACGTACGACGTTCTACGTTGTAGCTGACTGACTGACTAGATTTATATAATCTAGTCTGACATTGAGAAACAACAGAATAATATAAAACATTTTTCACAATGATAACTTGTAAATTTCATGAACAAAATCAGTGAGATATAAACTACTGACACTGTTTAAAGTAAACATGACGATCTTCAATATTAAACGAATATAGAATGCATATTGACTAAATTGTATACAGTTATTATTATTATTACAGAGAATGAGTGAGGACCTTTTGGACAACAATTAAAAAATTAGGAATTTTTCACTAGACTAGGAGGTATCAAACCCCGAATAAACTTTTAAGTCTTCTGATAAGCGACACTCCTGGCTTTTTTTCTTTTCAATAGTTTTCTGCTTCAGATTAGTTTGTAATTGCAACAATCACATTAGAAATAAAAAACAAAAGCATCCAGTTTGATATGCATTTACCTTAACAACATACTCTTTTGGTTTTGATAATAATTGTGGTTTTGCACTATCATTAGAATCATTGGAAAGTTGTTTATTTTTTGTTTGTTTTCTAGTTAATACATCACGTTGATTTTTTGCTTGTGCTTGTTTATTACTCATACCGGATTGTTTTAATTCTTTAAGACGTTTTTCTTGTTTTTCATATTCTTTCAATTGTTCTTTTCTTCGCTGAAGAAACATACTTTTGAAATTATCTAAAGTAAGGGGAAGAGAAATTTTTTACACAAATGTAATAGTATCGAAAAATCGTTGTTGTTATTGAGAAAATATAAGTTAATTGAATAAAGAGAATGATAAATAACATGCATTGTGGTGTAGATTGGAAGAAAGTGGCCAAACCGAAACATGGGACAAATCAATGAAGTCACTGATAACTGGATTGCGTCATGTTGATAGATTTAAGCTACCTGGTTGGGATGCGCGAAACGATAGTAACCGGATGGTTAGAAACCTTGAACGACATGGCTCAAAATCGCTTGCAGTGGCGTAGGTGAATCCATTCTATGTTCTCTCAAATTCTAATGTTCTGAATTCTTCATCACCTTTATCTTTCTCTTTTGAAGTTTATTTCACTAGATTCTACTTCTTGAATAGTATCCTTGAACCTTAATCTCTGCGATTACTGCTAATACTTCTATTACCTCTATTACTATGGAATTTGAATGGACAATTGCATCTCTGTGCTAATGTGGTATGACAACATAAACTTATGTACATACGTATGTACGTACGAAGTTCCACGTTGTAAGTGAATGACTGATATACCAGTAAATCAAACTCATAAGTTACATGCATTCTTAAAAGAGAAAAACAAACAAACTTACTATAATTGCCTCTATAATAAAATAATTGACGTTGATCTAAATGAATTATATCTGTACAAACATTATCCAAGAATGATTGATCATGTGAAACAATTAAGAGAGTTTTTTTCCATCGCTGAAGATAACTAAAAAACACATACAAAGAGAAAAACAGTATGGAAAAAAAATGAAATTTTATGCACAAATAATAACATGTATACTTCCTAAAAGGAAAACAATTTGTGGACAATAACTGATAATTATCAAGTTTTACACACTCAATATTTAATATCAACTAACTCCGCCTTCAGACTCTTCGGGGCTACTGCCGGTCACAAGCCCGGACGAAGGAGGAGGGTTGGGACTAAGGTTAGCGACCCTATCCCATAATAAACTAGCTTGCCAAAAAATGCTAACAAGAGATAATAATTAACACCATATAAACCCTGATCTGTGAGTTAGAAACTCTTCATTTAGTAGGGTTATGACGTCTCATGATCGAAGCCGAGTTCCTTCAGAAGTTATGAGGCCGATACCCCTTTTGACAACCAGAACCCTTCCATGGTGTGGGCAGACGGGAAGTAACATCCGTCCTCATACCCATAAAAGCACACGAGACCAAATCGGTCAGAATCAAATCCTTTCTACACCTCCCAATAAAAAATATCAACTATTACTTACTTGTCTAACCATATAACTGCATTCAAATCTAAATGATTTGTAGGTTCGTCCAATAGTAAAAGTGTCGGTTCCAAAAACAAAGCTCTAGCTAAACTGACACGCATTCTCCAACCTCCTGATAAATCTTTAGTAGGTTTATCCATCATATTTTTTGTGAAACCCAAACCAGATAGTATACGTCTGGCTTTACCTTCTGCTGCATCAGCTTTCATTGCAACAAGCTCTTCGTAGACCTATAAAACACAATGAAAGAAAATTATTCATTTTGAAGAGAAACAAACTAGTTTTGAGCCAAGTTGTTTCAAATTTTGGACGACTGATCACAATTATCGTGTACAATTCAACTTGGTTTACATCAACAACAAAAAAGAACATGAGACATAATGATGATCGTCAATGGACTTCATACAATGATATGATGTCTTAGTTTGACTACTACTAGCTTATAATCAACCAATTAATCAACAGCAATGTAGAACTTCGTACGTACGTACATCAGTTCAAGTTGTCATACCACATTAGCACAGAGATGTAGTTGTCAGTTCAAATCCCATAGTAGTAGGGGTAGTAAACGTATTAACAGTAATCGGAGAGATTAGGGTTCGAAGATATTATTCAAGAAGTAGAATCTAGTAAAATAAACTTAAAAAGATAAAGTGATATGGAACTTTGAAGGTTAGAATTTGAGAGAACATAAAGAATGAATGCATCTGTGTCATCGCAAACGGTTTACAGTCATGTCATTTAGGGTCTCTAATCATCAATTACTATCATTTTGCGGGCCCAAACCAGATAGTCGACACCTATCAACATGACTCGGTCCAATTGTCAGTGACTTCATGGGTTCGTGCCATGTTTCGGTTTGGCCTCCCCTAGTTTTCGTCCAACCTCCTACACGACAAAACATAACTCGTCGAGGCAGTCGGTGGTTAGGCATTCGTAACACATGTCCAAACTACCTTAACTGATGAAGTTTCACCACTTGATCTATTGATTTGCCATCCTTACCTAGAACTCGTTTCCTAACGACAGCATTGCTTACTCGGTTGTCTCATGATACACGAGCAATGCTTCGGATACACCTATGATTGAAAACAAGCAATACAAACGCAAGAGACCAAACTGGTCACAATCAAATCCTTTTTAAACCTCCTAATAACTCTCTTACTAGCTTATAAATTATATTAGAAAAATAATACACCAAAAATGAAAGTGAAGTAGAAATTGAAGAACTAACATTTTCAATAACTAAATTATATGCAGAATCGAATTTCCCAAATATGTATGTTATTGAAGTGCTGCTATCTACACTACTGAAATATCAAAAGTAAACTCTTCATCTAGTGACGATGTAAACCAATTAAGAATTAATGAACATGAACTATTTTTAAAGTTAATATACAGTAGTGTTGATGATAAAAATATTATTGAATACTACTAGTTTTCATGTTAACTGTCAATAATTCCATTTATCACTGTATTGATTTTATAAGCCGAATTTAATTTTGAAAAATACATTTTGAAGTACAAATATCAATAAAATATTCTACTAAGCATACTTTCTTGTTTACTGGTTTAATTTAATACAGTGTCGTATTAAGTTAGCTCACCTCATTAAATCGGTCAATTACAGATGGACCTTGATCTGTTTCTAAGAGAGATTTTAACTTTTCACATTCTTCCAATAATTCTAATCGTCTTTTGTCCGATTTGAGAACCATTTCAAATGCGGGTGTTGAATCAGCTACAACTTCTGTAAAATAAAGTAACGAGGAAAACAAACTGAATTCGTTGCAATTCAATATGCATGAGTATGTCAGAATCTGTAATATATATTCGTTTTTTTTTCAATTCGAGTTATGGAAATGGGTGCTTTTACACATTCGAATCACCAATCAACCATTATTGGACCACCATTAGAATCCTGGAAGGCCGTTTCGTCCAGGCAGGGGACTCATCAGCAGTGTGCATCCACGACTCCTGCAACTAGCAGGATTCGGATCCAGGACCTTCGGTCTTGCGCGTGAACGCCTAACCTCTAACAATTATTGATTCATGATTTTAATGTGTAAAAACAATGATCTCTATAACTCTAATTGAAAAACCGTACAATGTGCTCACTAGTGACTAGCTTTGTGAAGAAATTCTCGGAGTTCTAGTGAGAAGACGTGATCAGTGGCGTTTAACCCTGTCTGGTGTAAGCTGTAACTACTAAAGAAAAGTGGGTGAGGTCGCGCAAAATCCCTAGATTGTTTAGAGTTAGACATTACAAAGTTGGATGCCGGCTCAGTCGTCCAGAGGTGAGGCGTTCGCGTGCAAGACCAAAGGTTTTGGAATTGAATTCTGCGAGTTTTAGGAGTCGTGGATGAGCACTCTTGATGAGTCCCATGGGGCGACGAAATGACCGTCCAGTGCTTCCAAGTTTCTAATGGTGGTCTAATATATATTATAATAAAATAAGATGAATAATGTGAGTTTCTTCTTTCATATATACAAATATTCTAGTAAATTTTGAAGTGGACGTTTTTTAAGCAACTTTTGCTCGTCATCACTACTTTAACACTATTAGCTCGTTATTTTTATTGTATTTCAAAGACACTATGAAGATATCAATTAACAGTTACTTGATAAATGTTTCAATGTTCAGTAGATCTTTAATATAGAATACTTTGTTATATATATATAGTCGAAAATCCCATGACTATGGGAAAGTATATGACAATACAGGTAGTAGTTATTTAGACAGATGAAACATACAAGTTCGTTCAATAGGTTTATAGTAATAGTTTTTTTGCAGCCTATTGATAATACCTAACTGATAAGCCAAAGTAAGTGGAATGGAGTTCAAATCTGAGGCTTGTGGATTAAAGATTTAAAGCTTCAAGCAATAAGCCATCTTATAAAAAAAATTCGATACACAATACTGAAGAGCAACGTATAACAGAAATATGTTTAGAAAAAGCAAAAACATGATTCGCACTTACCTTGTTCACAAAGAAGTACATCGATATTTGCAGGGATATTGATCGCTCGAGTAGCGATGTGGCGAAGTAACGTAGTTTTTCCATAGCTACATTTCAAATACAATTAAAACATTGAATAGATTAAATGATCATATTAAAACTTTAAGAATAATGATTTAAATGAAAAATAACAATGAATTTTTGTCATTATATGTATTGGACTGTGGCAACAATTAATTAGTTAAGCGAATTAAACAAAAGTCGTAGGATATATAACTTTACAACCAAGTACGTATTTATATTTGAAACACTGAACAAAATATTGTATGATGACAAGAAATATTATACAGTTCCTCAGAACTAGGTAGATAAAGTAGGTATCACGTTGCGTATCTATTCAGTCAGTCAGTTACAATGTAGAACTTCGTACATGAAGTTCAGGTTGCCGTACCCCATCAGCACAGAGACGCAACTGTCAGTGCAAATCCAATAGTGGTAGAGATAGTAAAAGTATTAGCGGTAATGGAGAAGATTAGGGAGCGAAGACATGATTCGAGAAGTATAATTCAGTAAGATAACTTTGAAACCAGAAAGACAGAGATGATGACCAATTCAGAATATTAGAATTTGAGAGAACACAATTAATGAATAGACCTGCACCACCCACTGCAAACGATTTTCAGTCATGTCATTCAAGGTCTCTAATCATCAGTTACTTTCGTCTCGCGGACCCCGACCACGTAGTCGATACCTACCAACATGACTCGGCCCACTTGTCAGTGACTTCATGGATATGTGCCATGTTTTGGTTTGGCCGCCCCTAGCTTTCTTCCAACCTACTCCGACACCACAAAACATCGCTTGTTGAGGCAGTCGGTGGTAGGGCATTCGTAACACATGTTTGCGTATCTATTAGTTGAAGAATATTAAAAAATTAGTCTGTTACTTTGTTATATATTCATTAACATAAACCATGAGCAGTGTTATATAAACAAACAATAATATAAGCAAGTTTGTCAGTAAATTTAACTAGATATATAAAAAAAGCACATATACAATAAAGAATCATTTAGACTTTTTTGTCAAATGAGAATTGTTGTTTTTGCATACACTTAGTTCATGTCACAGAAACCTGAATATTTTTGGGCCTTGGATAAGCAACTGTTGCATAGAAGCTGCGGATAATACCCAATTGTTTAAACAGAAACGAAGACTGAATTTATGATTCGGAAGTTAAAAATGTTAACACAACTACACCACATCTACATGAAGTAGTACGCTTAAATGATAGAAGAACTTTTACTGAGTTATAAGAATTATACGAACGTAAAGCATTAGTATGAAAACAGTACACATTGAAGAAAAGTAAATTTGTTACAGTAATATGATCTTTCCTGAACAAAAATGTCCATTTACTTACCCATTAGGTCCAACTAACCCATAACGACGACCATGAGTAATTTGAAGGGAAGCATTTACAAATAATTCTTTTCCTTTAGCAGCAATTGAGAAATTTTCAACCCGTATATCAAGCTGATTGTCTTGTTGTTCAGATTTCGTATTGCTAGCAGCCTAATAATAGTAAATTAAATCAAAAACACATTAAGGTAAGGCATGTGAGTGATATGGAAATGCATGACCCATTGATTGGTTAATAATCTGAAGTAGACAATGGAAACAGATTTAATCTAACAATATATCAGTTTGAGTTTCTACACCACACAGTCTGGTGAAGAAGGAACACAAGTGTATTAGGACTGACTATCATAACCCGAGTAAGTCAATAGAAGAATGAAATGTTAAATGAACAAGGATATCTACCAGAAACGGTATGGTGAAATTACATGTTTACCTCTTGTGACAAGAGAAAAGATTTATCCATAGTCGATTTAGAGTTTTGTCATAATAAAACATTCAACTATCGACGGTGTTACGGATCGACAATTCAATATTCTTGAAAAACGATTAAATCGCCTGACTTGATGTGAATTCACCAATTCACTAACTGATTTTCCATATTTGCCTAGCACTTAATATAAAGATGCTTACTCAAAACGCATTAACAAAGTCCAGGTTCATGTATTCGGGTTTTAAAGCATACTATTTGTGTTAACAATAATCGTATCTTCCGCATTTAAAGAAAAGACACGTGACAAAAAGTAGCACAATACACTACTTCAAAACCAATTGAATCTAGATGATGAATTCAAACATTTGGTTTGATCGTAACAGCACAATTAATATAAATTAAACATGGAAATTAATTCATCAAAACAGATGAACAGTACAAGTAGCAAATAGTATATTTCCAACTTCACTTACTTGAGAAAGTGCAAAGTTATCAAGTGTTCCAGAAGATGCGATAATTTTCGCTTTCGCATTTTCAACAAGTTTTTCAAATTCTTCTTTCTTTTTAAGCTTTTTAAGTTCCTTCTTTGATACCTTTGCTTTAACAACATTGGCATCACTTTCTATGACATTTTCTTCAGCTAAAGTTGGTTTAGAATCAGTAACATCCCCATTTTCTACTTCGGTAGTCGAAAAGTTGTTTGAAAGTGAATTAGTATCAATATCAGCAGGTGGCTTTGAGTTTGTAACGTCAATTTGAGGTTTACTGTCTACAGGATCATCGGATATTATTTCAACGTCAACGGCTGCGTCTGGATTGTCTACTGTAGCTTCATGATCAAGAGACATCGCTGAAAATCCACCAAACTTAGTACTTTGAGAATTGAAATCATCGGTTTCATCATCTAAAGCAACAACTGCCATGGCTTTGGTCAAACCATCAAAGTCTTCTTGTTCACTATCAAATCCATCATGTTTCTTTTTTCCAGGTTTTTGCTTCTTTTTCTTTCCAGCTGCATTTTGAGGGGGTGGTTCTTCAGGTTCCGGTGCTTGTTTTTGTTTACCGCGACCAGCCTTTCTTTTCTTTGCATAAAAGTCGTCATCAACTTCTTCAGGTTTTGTAGACTCCTCATCAAGTTCATAGTCTTTTTGTGGAGTTTCACGATTTGAATCCATTTTGGAACTAGTAACTTTTGCTTTTTGTTGGTTATCAGCTTTCTGTTCATCCAGGTCGACATTAATCCCATTTAATTTGCCTTTCTTTTTCCCCTGTTTTTTACTTGATGCCTTATTTGTATCCCCTTCATCTTCAGAATCTGCACGTTTACCAGTATTACGACCAGCTTTTCTTTTCTTTTTGTAAAATTCATCATCAACCTCGTCTGATTTTAACGATTCATTACTAGACTTGTGACTTTCTTTTTGCATTTGTGTATTCTTTGGTTTTTCACCCAGATCGTTGCTTGGTTGATCTTTCCCTTTCTTTTTCTTCTCATTTTTCTTTACGATAGTATTGTCTGTAACTGTTTTAGTAGTTTCTTCAGAATCCGAAGGAACATGATTAACAGTTTTTCCCTTATTCTTTTTATTCCCTGACCTTGTGTTTTTTCTCTCATCGTTGTTGGTATTAACAGTAACACTGTCGTCTTCGTCATCTTTATTTCTTACATTTCTCTTTGGAGGCATTGTCAAAACAAGTAGGTAAAATGGCTATGGGTATGTAATTTTCTAAGTAGTTGGATTTGTAGTTGTAGCGGAAGAGTCCTACAAAAAAGAAAGATAATTAGGTAATATAACTTCCAGTATTATAACCTAGGTGCTATGGTGGAATAATTAAATAAGTAATTTATTTGGAAAGGATATGGACTAAAATTTTGATTTCTAGTACCTTGTTTGAATGATTTAGTTTTCCAACGTACGATAAAGTTTTCGCTATACCAAACAGGCAACCTAAGAAGAATTGATAATATTCATGGAAGAGAGATCTAGCTTAACGACAGAAATGATTGATCAATAATCACACCTAGCAATGTTTACATTTGATTGAATAAAAATGTTTAACACGCATATAAAAAATTGAAAATCAATGTTACTTGAAAAATATATTACAAATCTGACCATATCAGAAAACTGCACTGTTTTAACACTAAGAAGCGCTATATGAACTTTAGAAAAACTACCACTATCAGCAAATCCAAATTCCTAAAAATTCAACGTATCAATCCCCTTTGGATAGTGTTACGCAAAACCGAAGAACCTCTGAAGTACAAGCGCGTCATTCTAACTTGACAAACAAGTAAAATACCATGTCAGAAAATTATTCCAGTTAGTACACAAGTCGAAGATAAGTGCTTCTGTTACGACACCTTGTAAATTAGCATTACAAGCTACAACTGTATAAGGTGTGAGATAAAAGTTCAATCAATCAACTATATAGTAAATCAAAGCCTTGGAGGTCATATGCAATGCAAACATGTTCGGGATGCGGTTCTCACCCTCGAAATGCAAAATGTTGCTTCAGAACTGGCTTGCGTTGGCACCTGAACTAGTAATAGCCAGTGAAATAGTTGAGCGTGTTGACTGTTTCACTTACCTCCAGAGTCTCATCAGTGCTGATGGACTGGTGACTGACGAAATCTCAGCACGGATACAGAAGGCTTGATTGGATTTCACCAACTTGGCGTAGGCGAGATATTCGTCTGCTAACCAAAGGACGAATGTCCTGCGCAGCAGTTCGCTACATCCTACTTTATGGCTGCGAAACATGACCAGTAAGAGTAGAAGATATTCGTACGTTACAGGTTTTCAGTCAGTCAGTTACGACGTAAAACTTTGTACATGAGTACATAAGTTCCGGTTGCCATATCCCATCAGCACATAGTGGTTTTCTATCAGGTGTCTCCGAAGCATTGCTCTTGTATCATGGGACGACCGAGTAAGCAATGCTGATGTTAGGAAACGGGTTCTACGCAAGGGTGGCAGATCAATAGATGAAGCGCTGAAACTTCAATTGAGGTGGTTGGGACATGTGTTATGTATGCCTAACCACCGACTCCCTCGTCGATCTATGTTTTGCGATGTAGGAATAGGTTGGAAGAGAGCTAGGGGACGCCACACCAAAACATGATACGAATCGATGAAGTCGCTGATAACTGGACTGAATCATGTTGGTGTCGACTACTTGGTTGGGGCCGGCGAGATGAAAGTCATCGATGGTTAGAGACCCTGGTGCAGGTGCATTCATTCTTCATCACCTTTATCATTTTATTTTTAAGTCTATTTCAATAAATTCTACTTCTTGAATAATATCTTCGAAACCTAATCTCTCCAATTACCGCTAATACTTCTACTATCTCTACTATTATGGGATTTGAATTGACATCTGCGTCTGTGCTAATGTGGTATGGAGGTCTGAACTGACGTACGAAGTTCTACGTTGTAACTGACTGGCATATGCCTTCGAAATACATGGTACTAAGTGTTTGTATTCATGGATGGTGAAAAGTCTCCTACTGATAAGTTCAATACTTTTGCTTCAGACTAGGGTACGTCAGTGTATGCTAATAATCAGGGTAGAAGTGTAGGATCTCGGTTGATTCGTTAGAATTTTCTACTTGAGGTTGATATCTGAGAAAATAAGTGACTTATGACGGTAAGCGTTTTTGTTACTACCTCTAGAAAACCATCGTAAAATACATTGCTTTGAAGTAGAAGTCCTGACTTGTTTTCAGAAATTGAGTGTTTACTAAGCAGAAGTTTATGTCTTATTTTGTAGACTTGTGATGAGACAGAAATATATTGGTTATATTTGTAACTATCGGTCGTTGATTGTAATTAAAGTAGTTAATACAGTAGTAATTAATCAAAGCTAGTTATATTAGCAACCGACGTCAGGAAAAATAACCCCAATCCCCCTAGAATCACTGGATACAAAGTGTCTTGAGACTTACCTTGAAGAAACCAATAGCCAAAATCAGTAGAAGTGTTTCGGCAACTGGATTTCATGGGTTTATTTTAAGTGTTAACATAAATCTTCATGACCCTACTGATGCCTAATTCTCAGTGGATGATTTTACGAACTAGAAGCAATATGGTGATCAGGTCCAGGAATTTCAATGCTTTAGAGTATAGGCAAAGCCTTAAGATTTACTGAATCCGAAATTGTTAAGGACCATAATGATATTCTTGGGAAAAAATTCATGACAAAAAACTGACCCTCACATTTGTGGTCATATTATTTAAGGTTTCTACACAAATAATTAGACTAGTGAATGGAGGTGAGAAGTTAATAATTTAGATTCATAGTTGAAATTTCCTCTAGGCTGAAAAGCGAGTGGATTGTGAAATACAGAGCATGAATTAATTTTCTAAGCGTTAGTTAGCAACAGCCATGTACATTTTCATATCAGATTAATTACCGCTAGCATGGCTGAAGAGGAGTAGCGAGATTAGATCACGTAAATATTTAGACTTTAGATCGCATACATAAAACATACATTATGGGCAGTAATCAAATAAAACAGTAATGAACCAGGAAGAGGGTTCTGTTAAGTCAGTTGTGTTAATCTGGTACTATAATTTGGGAGAATTACACTTACAATCTAAGCAGTACAGGATGATTAGGAAGAATACAATCATAATGTATCATATTACTAACAGTTCCTTTTATTTAGGATAAGATCCAACGCTAAACTACAGCGAAGACATACCTTAGTGATAGAACAAAAAAAATTTATTTGGAGGCTTTTGAAGTTAGAACTCTTAAAGTGGTATTTTTTACACAAAGGAACAGTTGTAATGCCATGAAGTTAGTCTTTCAAAAGAAAGTGGTCGTTAATTAGTACAGTAGGTACTGAGAGAGATTACTCTCGGTGTTACTGCTTGGCCACTCATCTCATTGTTAATTATTTTTTCAACCTAGGTCCTGAAAGAATAAGACAATGATGATAGCCCACAATTACGAACAACGCACCCAATACCCAGGCGCAGATGCAAATGAACAATTAAGATAGCATTCCTAATCAGAAAAGTGAGAATGTACATATAATAGTCAGTGGTGCTCGAGGAAACATTTCAATTCCTCATTTAGCTAATTTTTTTAATATTTGGTATTTTGTTAGCCCAAATTAATGAATACATACAGAAACCTCTGTTTTTGGATTTGACAGACACTTCCTATGCTTCAAGCAAACTACAAAAGCATTGTCTGAGACAAACAAGATACTGCCAAAATTATAGGGAATAAGTAATAGGCTTTATGGTATAGTTGTATATCAATCAAGCGTGGCATCTAGCTAGCAATCACGGAAACATTGGTTTACATCTGATCGTATCTTGACGGATTTGAGCGAGGAAGACATAAAAAGGTACTCAAAAAATGTAAAAACAGGGAAAAGCCCTATTATGTTGGTGAAATGACTATATGTCCGGCAACACAAGATACATTCCAATTCTATTGCAATTCATGCAGCGTGAGGAAACCAAATTTTGAGGACTAGGATGCCAGTTTCTAAACTGAATTTCTTTATCACGAGAGAGTATACACCAACTGGTTCCTTTGTGCTCACCTCCTGTTGTTTTGGTACAGCTCCAGATATTAGGCAACCTGGTAGTCTCAGCCAGTCAGCTACAACGTGGAACTTAGTAAGCACGTACATAAGTTCAAGCTGCAATACCATGTTAGCACAGCAAGATAGAATTGTCAGATCAAACCAAATAATAGGTTTTAGAAGTACTAATGGTAATAGGAAAGATTTATGACCGAAGATATACACCAGTGAAATAAGTTTAAGGAGGCAAATAAACGTCACGAGGGATTCTGAAGCTTGGAATCCTCAGAAGACAAAGAATGGGTGGATGTGCGCCACTACAAACGATTTTGAGCCATGCCACTCAAAGTCGCTAACCACCAGTTACAACTGTCATGCGGACCTCAACCTGGTAGTTTACACCGACCAACATGGCTTAAATCAATTGTCGATGACTTTGTGGAATGCTATTATGCTTTGGTTTGGCCACCACTAGCTTCCTTTCAGCCTAGCCCTTCACTCATTGGAGTAGTCAGTGACTGGATATACATAGCGCATATCTTGACCACCTCAACAGGTGAAGATTTACTACTTAGGTACTTGAATCGCCATCCTTATGAAGCGCTTTTAACCCCAACCCTGCTTAATCCATAGTCCCACTGTATACGAGCAATGCTTTGAAGACACCTATGATCGAATACTAGTAACCAATGAATATTCTCCATTCTTAATGACCATGTTTTATACCGATAAAGTAGAACGGAAAGGACTGCTGTGCAGTAGACGGATATCTCGCCTACGCAAGAGTGCTGGTAGCTGTTTAACTAAACTAATACTAATCAGTTTAGTAGTTATGGTTTTGTATATCATATGATTCGAGGTATTGCGTTTGTATAAGGACAGTAGTTTATAGATATAAGCAGCTATCTAATACCGGGAAGGTTGAAAAGTGGAAAAAATGAAAAAAAGCCCTCGTGGTAGGTGAAGACAAACGTTTCAAAAAATAAGCTAATTAGCTGCTAATGCATGTAGTGAGAGGATTGTTAGGATAAAGGAGGAAGCAGAGATGGTAATAAGCAAAATAAGAATAAGTCATTGGTTCATGGTAATGACGACAGCAGACAAATTACGAGACATGCAAGTGGTACTCCACCTACAATTTTCTTATAATAGAGAAATAACTCTAAATGTTGGAGCCTGTCTTCGTCATACTTATTATTTAACCATTTCACCCACTTAATTCGTCTCTGAACCTAGTCCAAGAGACTCATGTCTCCTTTGAAGAGAGGAGGCTATAAAACATTGTGTATAATTCCAACCTTTAGTCCTGAAAGTACCGTGTATGCTGGGGGAATATGAGGAGCAGTATGTGAGGTTACCTAGGTGAGGAAAGAATGAGAGAAAAGATGAGCCGACAAATCATTAAGTCCAAAAATCCACTTACTTTTAATATAGAAAGCACTAGACAGCAATCACGAATAATACAAGCATGAGATTAAGACAAACCGATAATCGGAACTAGAAGTTGGTAGCGTGGAGTTTTGAATGCGTTGCCAACATCCAATATCATTTTTTCACGAGTTGTAAAAACCAATTGATTTCTTTGCGCTCGATTCTTAATCTATCGGTACGGTTCCAGGTGTTTGTTATTATCCAATGAATAGTACTTAGGATACTCGACTGCACTAATTCTCGTCGGTTGGCAGTTGTTTTAGAGTTTGTATTTAAATGAATAGGTTTATTTCAGGGCAGTAGGGTTTCTGGATACCAGCAGCTATCACACCATGAGGCCGCAGATCAGTTAGTTGCAATGTGAAGAATAATAAGGGGGAAATTCTAATGCTAATAAGAGGATTTCAGATCTAAGTAATATACAAATAATTTAGTTTATAAATTGGTAGTGAAGATTGTGAGAGGGGATCGAAGTTTAAGGAATCAAGAGGAAAAAGAGATAATAAGAGGGATGGGTTAAGTTATTGATCTGAGGAGATGGCAATAATATCAACTAGCAGGTCTCAATACATGCATTAGGCACAGATTGTCCCCAGGGGGGAGATGATAATCCGTGTGTAAGTGTTTATCAAGTCTCTTCCTAAAGCTGTCCATTTAGAGGGTTGTGGTCACATCGACTGCAGAGGCATTCCAAGTTTCAGCGACTCTTAATGACAAAAAATGTGCACGAACCTGAGTGTTCGCTCTCTGATGTGCAATTTTTCAAGGATTTCCTCGAGGAGAGTGTTGGTGATGCATCAGTGAGATGCTCGCATTGGGATGGTTTGGCGTGCTTAATATATTGTACGCCATAATCAGATCGCTTCTGATTCCCCTGTAACTCAGGAGGAATATCTCAGGCGCTGGATTCTATCTTCGTAAGGTTTGCTCTTCAACCCAATCACCCATTTCGTTTTTCGTCTCTACACTCAATCAAGGAGATTTATGTTCCTTTTAAGGAAAGGGAGTGCGATTACGTTGTGAACCTCAAAAGAAAGTCACGCCTAATTCTTAGATGACTCAAATGTTTAAGGTCGTAACAGGGGAAAATTTCACTGGCATCCATTAGTAGTACACCAACGATGCCTCCAAATAGGAACTTAGGTACACTTAACAAACAAAAAAGAAATAATTACCAAATGTTGTAGTGGAACTGTTTTCTGAAGAAAACGTCTGCCTGTATGTTTTCTCGAATAACCACCCAGGCAACAACGGATAACTGACAGGACACTATCCCTATACCACATGTATGCTGCAACTTTCTCTTTTGCTTTCATTTTGCATCCTGAGTCCGTCTCTACGACTATCGTTCAGTTGGTACCGCCGACTTCGGTCAATCTTGGCGAAGGCTGACCTTATCACCTACGCTCTTGTCAATGCACTCAATCAATGTTCTGGTTCCCAATGTATCTGGCATACATATGATTTCGAACTTGGTCTTTCTGGTCGTTTCTATCTCCCTCATTCGATCTGGTTCCATCCTAAGTCTCCAGTTTTTTCTGGTCAGAACCCCTAGGAACGCGATCTTCAGAATCTGTATACAAGCTACTCTGGTGTGGCACGCCAACCTGAACAACAAACCTGGCACGTTACGTACAGTTGAACATAAAAGACATTTGATGACAACTTGAGCTTCATTGGTAGCATCCTGTCTGTCAATCCTTCCGCCCTACAATCACCCGTTAGCCGACCTTCTCCCCTCGCACGAAACCGCTACGTAATCAAAGTGCAAACCCTTTCTAGGGGGGGGGGGTTCTAATATAGTGGTATACTTTTACACAGATAACACAATTGCTGAAATATAAGCATTTCTTATTGTACTTTATTCTGACAATAATTGTTATATTGTACTCATTTTGCTTAACTGTACTAAAGAATATCTCTCGCGTTCCGAGCGCAACATTCCCATCCCGCTTCTCTCCTCGGTGGTTGATAGCCGCTCCTGTATTCTGGTCTTGATATTATTTCTATATCACGAGGCCAGCGATAAAATTACTTCTTCTTCCAGGACAGTCTTTTCTTTGACTTCTGGATTTATCTGGATTTAACTTGCTAATCTCGCGAATGATAGTTTCATCTCATTATAAAGACATGGCGGATATTGGTAGCTCCTGGTCCGTGATTTGAGAAGAGACCTATGATTCGGATATTAACACTGAATGAGTATTCATACAGCTTATTCTTTTTGTCAAGTAAACCTGCAGAGTTTATACATAATGAGTGGATACTTTCGATTTGAAAGGCATATGCGTCCTCATTCTTTTCACCGGAATCAGCCTTATGTGAGTGGACGGACAATCTAACAATTCAAAGGTTTCTGAATAGCTCTTGCTTAAATTTTCAACTGCAAGTCTCCCAAGTTTATGAATAAAAGGGTAACAAAGCGTTGCTGATATCAGTTCTTCATGAAAACTACAACCATGATTTGGCAATCCAAAATCAGAACTCCAGATTAATTTTTAGTATCTAACGGTAACCTTTATGCATTATAGCTGATCTCAGTTTGTGACATGGGCCCAAATCTTAATATACAGATTTAAATGTTTCCTTTCACCAGGAATAATGCGATATGTAAGGGCTGACAATACAGGCAGAAAACACTTTTTGAATGATATTTTATTGTTTCTAGCCGATGACTGTTTTACGGATTGAGTGATAAGCCATTCAAAGTCATTAGCAAGTCATACTTTTACAAGGCTGCTTCATGAAGTTTCATTCTTGAATATCATGGAATGCATTATCAGGGTCCGTGAAAGAACGTCGCAAGAGTTTCGTATTTCAGATGAAAGTGAGCTGTAAACGTGGTATATCAAGCAGTTTCCCTATTGGCCAGCGGAACAGATTCCACAACTGCAACGTCAGTGAATATTAGGCGAATGAATCTTGGATAATGTAAGTGTTTTTCGTCCTGCTTCTGCGGGAGTCGTATGACTGCTAGTTGTTCCATTTCGTGAATTTTAAGCTTCCGTTTATGCATTCCGAAAACATCCAGCCCTTCTAGTTTGGAATATGGTATTTAAAGTTCACGACTGTTAAGGAATCGTCACGAGCTTTTATTGATTTTCAAGGTTTTCGAATTCGTTGTTTGATAGTCGAAGTTTAGATTTATGCGTTTTTTGTCAACCTTGGGAGTGGAACGCACGACTGGTGCATCATTTGAAAATACAGTGAGGGGGAGCACAAGTCCTAACACATCAAGCCTCAGGTCTGTGAACTGTAAAGTAGTGGAAAGAATAATTTAAGGTGTGTAGAAATACATATTTGTACTAGCAAAAACTTTGCTTGGAGGCCTTCTAGTAACCGCGCTTCTTAAAAGTACTGTAAGCAACACAACACTTAATGTTTGACTAACAGTCCAAATCTACTAGATCTGTTCTGAAGAGTATAATAATAAAATTCTTTAAGTAAAACTTAAGTCAGGCAATGATTTCCTGGCCAATGCAAACCTGATGACCAAATCTAATAAGGAAATTCGAACAGTTAGAGAATCAAATGTGTGTCACATGCACCTTATCGTTGGTTCGTACATGCACTGAAATCTATTTGTGAAGACGCAGGCAAAATATTTCTGACAAGAACGAATCTTTTCGCCAAATAAACTACTAAAGAGTGTTAAAAATATGCATATGGATTAACGAAATAATTCGATCGGGATACAGTATCGTTCCTCTGGACCTACAAGTATACCGTTTGGCAGGGCCCGGAGTGTGAACACTAAGTTGAGAAAAAGCTATTATTTAGACGATGTAGCACAATGTTCGTACCTGAAGTAGAAGGCAGTATTGGCATTATGCTAGCAATTCTATTATGTAATCGGCAAAAATAGATATAAGGACAAACATAAAGCGATCACGATAAGTTGATGGCCGGTGCTTGATCGATCAGAAAACAGATTTTCTAACGGAATAGTTTATTAAGAGCAAAACAATAGTATTTCAAGGTATGAAAAGATTACATATAATTAGCCAATTTAGGTCTGCTATAGGGTTAACAAACAAAAGTCGTCCTTATTGACCCAAATTATCCAGTTTTTCTAACTGCTGTAAGGACTCATATGAATTTTGAAGTTCCTGGCTAGGTATTGTTTACAGTCAGTCAGTTACAACTTAGAACTTCGTAAATGAAGTACAGGTTGCCATACCACATCATCACAGAGAGGCAATTGTCAGTTCAGATCACATAGTGGTAGAGATAGTAGATGTACTATCGCAATGGAGAGGATTGGGGTTCGAAGAAATGATTCGAGAAGTATAATGCAGTGAGATAACTTTAGAAAGCGAAAGATAGAGATGATAAGGGATTCAAGAGGTTAGAAATTGAGAGACTGCAATGAATGAATGCACGTGTGCCATTGCAAACGACTTCGATCCATGTCATAAAACGTCTCTAACCATCGGTTACTATTATCTCACGGACCCCAACCAGGTAGCCTCCATCTACCAACATGACTCAGTCCACTTGTCAGTGACTTCATGTTATGTCTCGGTCTAGCAGCCCCTAACTTTCTCCCAACCTACTCATACACCACAAAACATAGCTCATCGAGGCCGTCGATGGTTGGCCATACGTAACAAATGTCCAAACCACCTCAACTGATCAAGGTTTAATACTTCATCTATTGACTTACCATCCTTAGCTAATACCCCTTCCCCAACTATAGCATTGCTTACTCGGTTGTCCCAGGATCGCTCCGAAGATATCTATAATCGAATATCCTTTTCTCTGACTGGCCTTGTTTCGCATCCGTATATCTTGCCTTAGCCATAGGTGACGCAAGTTGGCAAAAACCAATCGAGCTTTCTGTATCCGTGCTTAGATTTCGTCAGTCACCAGGCCATCAGCACTGATGAGACTCCCGATATAAGTGAATTGGTCTACACGCTCGACTACTTTACTCCCTATCACTAGTTCAGGTGCTGATGTAAGCCAATCCTGAAGCAACATTTTGCATTTCGAGGGAGAAAACCGAATCCCGAACATGTTTGGATTGTCGTTTAGGGTAGTCAGAAGACTGCATCTTGTCAGCTTCTTCACCGAGTAGAACTATGTCATCAGGATACTCTAAGTCAACAAGCGTGTCTCTTGGTAGAAGGTCCACACCTGAGAAGTCAGACGAAGATAATGTTAACGTGTTTTTGTTCTAGGACCTGACGTAGTGTGAATATTTGATCTATACATCCACGTCCAGGTCTGAAACCAGCCTGGTTTTCTCTAGTCTGCTCTTCACGAGCTCTAGTTAGGTGTCTAAGGATAATCAATGCTATATATATTAGTTAGACTGATTCCTCTATGATTGTCACGAAAGGACTTTTGTCCTTTCTTATAAATTGGGACAATAAGTGACTGAGACCAGTTGGATGGTAATACGCCCAGTTCCCAGAGTCTACCTACTATCTCAGTCAATCCAACTGCTAAAACTGGACCACCATCCTTAAAAACCTCAGGGGTTAATCAATCATGACCCGCTGCTCTCCCTTGCTTCAGATTTCCTGTGGCTTTCTCAACTTCTTTACAAGTTGATATCATCTATAAACTAAAAAGACTCAGTAATAAAAACGAGCAATCAATATAGTGCAACGACTTAAGAAGCATTATTTAACTACTTCGTTGATATAATGGTGGCACCAAGTTCAAGTTTGTTCTAAGATTGAGGACTTCACATCAGGAAAGGTGCTGGTCTATCTACTATATACAATCTACTTCGATAAACTAATTATACCTGAAAACAATAAAGCAATAGTCAAGAAAAGTTGACAGTGTAGAAAAGAAATTTATTCGAAATTAATTTGATATTAAAAAAAAACAATAAATAGAATGGTAGTACAAGAAAATAAACAGATCAAAATATTTAATGTAAACAAATCATAGAAAGTGTTATATATACAGTTTACACGTATAAAATGTTATTTATCATTTGTTTCGTATAAAATTGAACTTATTGAAGCATGCTTATCTGAAGATGAAAAATAGCAGAGGAATGATGAATTAATTTATAATAGCATAAAAATCATGGAAATATTTTCAATCCCTAACTATTAATAGTTGAATAGTTGCTTTTATAAAGCTATAAAAGAAGCTCTATATTGTGGTGACGCGAACTTCATGAGGACTGAACCTTAAAATGACCCCTCATGGTATTATTTCTTAAATTTTTATTGTATGAGGATCAGATGATTGGATTATAATTTCTATTTTTCAGCTCTCGCTTGATGTATATACCGTTGTTTAATATTATTACAAATTCATTACTAGTTAATTGCCCCCACCTATTACTTTGTCTTTGTCTCACTTATGTTTGAGTTGTAATTTCTTGTATGTGTTGTCGTGTGGTAAGATATTTCAGTGTATATTATTATTTAAGTTTCTGCATCATAGATGAACAGAAAAGAATAGACAGAAATCTGTTTGCTAACTTCATCTTCTGATTAAACACGATAAGAGAGAGGTCGAAGACCAATAAGCTTTAATAATGGGGCTGCTTGCTCCATGATCACAAAGTGACCAGTACACAGAAAGTCAGTGTTATTACAGGTAATGCGCAAAATACTTCATAGAGGACCTGATAATTCAACGAGTTCTATAATATGACTTTTTGATGATTTAATTTAGTCGTCAGACGGAAACCAACTAAGAAGGATTATCTTTGATTAAATTAGCCATGTATCATACAGAAAAACAGTGAAATAATAAGAATTTCTACTAGAAATTTGATCTACATTACAGAGACACAACACAGGATCTATACTGACCATGATATTGTGATTATAGGCCCGAACAGCTAAATTAATTCACAAAAAGACTCATGTCGCGTATGAAACTCTTTTTTAAACTTATGTTTTTGTAGATTAAATAAACCAAAAAAAAATTATCATATCTAAATTAAATTAACTGTTACATTTATAACCAGTATAACAATTCTATACATTAAATGAGTTAATCAACATAAACTTTATGTGATATAAAACTAAAAACAAAAAAAAACACAACTCAAATATACCTGATCTAATATGACAATGTGGATAAGGCACATCATGCATAACCGATTTCAATGTGTACATTATATGCAACAATGATGGACACTGGGAAAACAGGAAAAGAAAAGTAAAATAGTTATTAATAAATCGACAGGAAGTTTCAAATGCATCAGTCAGTCACAACTTAGAACTTCGTACGTAAGTACATTAGTTCAGGTTGTCATACCACATTAGCACAGAGATGCAATTGTTCGTTTGAACCCCATAGTGGCAGCGATAGTAGAAGTATTAGCGGTTATGGAGAAGATTAGGGTTCGAAGATATTATTCAAGAAGTATATTTCAGTGAGATGAATTTCGAAAGAGAAATCATCAATGCATTTATCTGCGTTAAGAGTTGATTGTTGTTGTTGTTGATATTGGATTCATCCTACTGAAGTTTTCTAATCTCAGTTAATGATTCTTTATTCTAAAACAATTTACTACTTATAATAAATATTTCGACAGACAACGACATTTCACTTTCTTTGTGGACTTGAATCAATCTCACACGTGATGTTCCCGTGAATGCAAGATCAGCCTACTTTTAACACGACAGATTTTAAACAACCGAAAGGAAACTAACAAAGTAGTAAAAAAACTAGGTGTGTGAAATGAATGAACTACTGAAATGTGAATAAATAATAAACTTAGTTAATGAAAACTTTTAACCTTACAAAACTTTGCTATTATGTAGTTTTACCGCTGTTGGACTATCCACGTAAAACTATGATTATTTGTAGGAGTTTTGTCACAAACCAACATTATTCAGTCTGTCAGTCAACAACATAGAACTTCGAACGTACATACATCAGTTGCCACACCACATTAGCACAGAGATGCAATTGCCACTTCAAATCCCATAGTCGTAGAGGTAGTTGAAGTATTAGAAATAATCGGAGAGATTACGGTTCGACGAGATCAAATAGCTCAGAATAAAATCAAACCAACATTATTGATGACAATTTTATGACAAAGCCACTAGTTAGGTAAATATCCCAGTAAATCCAAGAGGTTAGACCATCTAAATGCATTTTCACATAGTAACGATATAAGATGAAGTTTTCATTGACAAGGGTATCACTCAAATTTACTGGGAAATTTACAATTACTCATACAGAAAGAGATTAACTATACTTAAGGCAAAAAATATTATCAAAAACAATTTGAAAAATCTCTTCGACAATCAATCAATCAAAGTTTAAATGATAAATAAATTGATAGAAAACTAGACTGGACAGTTTTACCTGATCTTTATATTTCTCAATTTCGTCTATAAGTTTCGGACCAATACAACCATAACTTTCAATCAGTATGCATTGAATGACTTTTACAGTTTTTTGCAAAATTTCCATACGAATAGCTTGATGACTTTTAATTTTTATTGGTTTTGTTTCATGAGAAGAATTAGGAAGAAATGATTCCAACAAGGGAAGGATTAAGGCCCAATCAATTTTATTTACTGAAATTATAAAAAAAACAGGGACAATACGGAAAAGTGTGAAATTTTATCATTACTTTGATATTAAATGAGTGGCTGAAAGTAGTCGGTAGGAAATCTTGTTTGACTTAGGTTTTGTGGCGGTTAAAACATGTAGGAGAGACGTACCTAAGATTTTTAGAGAGTTGACGTTGCATGAAGGGAAGGATTCAGGAAATCACAGATCAGTAGTTGCATTGCACGTTGATTAGAACTAAGGATAAGGTAAATAATAGCAATAGTCACTACTCAGTGATTAGTCTTTGGTGTTCTACTATATGGATTTGTAAATTTTTGTAAAGATTTCGATTTATTTCGAGGGCAATTTTCATGACGAATCGGCATACTAGATGAAACACCAAAGATTGATTAACAATGTACAGCTACGAAAAACTCACATGGAATCTCAAGTGAAACCGATTACAAAGGGCCCAGTGAGCGTAATAACCCTAAGCTAATATCACTGATCAGAAGAAGATTTACTTATGAAACTGTATACATAAATGTACTAAAACTCAGCTTGTATATAAATAGGATATAATTGGGAAATTAGTCTTGTTTGCACTGAATGTACAGTTCAAGCTGACTAATCCTATTTGAAATGAAGACCTACGCAATGCTAAGTATTTATTCAAAGATTGCGGATGATTTTAGTCAACAAAAAATTATTTTAACAATAATATTAGGTAAAATAAATTGTGTATACAGAAACCTATTTAGATCACATATCAAATTGATCAGACAAATTCACATACTATAATTTCTAATTTCAGAACTTCGACAAGCAAGTTGAGCAAGTGAAAGATTTGCAACTTTGGAGAACGAAACCGACTTCATATCTGAAGGGAAAGGTTCATCCATACGATGCATGGGATCAGAAGGGTAAATGTTCTGACCTTCATATCTGGTCTGATGACATAATATATCACAACCAAAACAACAAATATGAACCAAACGTAGAAGAACACTGACAGTGTAGAAAATAAAAATAGGAAAACACCAGAAACCGAATTAATTCTTGTACAATCAATATTATGAAAAAAGTCATATGTGATATGAATGCATTAGAAAATCAACAAATTGCTTAACTATAGTGGTAAAATAAAACAAATCTTAGATTAACTTTTCGCATTGAACGGTTCCCTAGGTATGAGTTTTATCTAGTTAACACTATTCAACGACAATTCAAGCAATTCTAGAAACGACTGATAGAATTTTATCAATGACAAGGTCAAGTTTGACGCAGAAAACCCTCGACAATTTAGAATCAGCCTGACACAATAGTTCCCGACCGTAGATGCTACCTTGACGGGCTTGCCTATCATGATGACCCCAACCGAGCTATACTGGCTGAGGCATTTGCTCCTGTAGGTTCTACCATACCAGGCAGGTCCATTGGAGAACGGTGAGAATAAAGGCATCACCTCGACGTCTGAGTGCGAAGTCGTACTGCTGACTGTAGAGGGGTGTGACAGCAGTAAGGTGTTTACCTCACACAACCAGCATCTTCAGCGATGCTGCCTTCTCACAAGGAAGGAAGGGTTAAAAAAGGTCGACCCTAAAAATGTCACACCTCACGGATTTCTGTCTACGGCAGTAAAGCCTTTTAAACAAGAACGGAGGAAACAGTTTAAATACTACCCATAAATAGGCCGTACGTGACCGGCCTCAAACAGTAGTCCCTTGGGCTTTGCGGTTACGCTCCCAGGTCTCTAAGACCAACACTAATCTACCTTCCTTTTCAGGTTCCTCAAGAAACACCCTACCACAGTAAGGGCAGCCGGAAAGTGACATCCGCCCTCACACCCGTAAAAGCATACGAGACCGAATCGGTCATAATCAAATCTCTCATGTACCCCGTAATATCTCTCTCTAACCCTTTTCACATTCCCTTGTCACCTCGCACCGCTAATGCAAACGATTCGAGTTCACGAGAAGTTATTCCTGTTCTCCTGAAACTACGCTTTAAATTACATGTTTGAGCTTTTAATATCCGGACATTGTGTCAAACAGGACAAGAAGCTTACTTAGCTAGGACTAGAAGCTCGCGCCATCGACATATGCTGCGTCTTCCAAACGTGAGTATAGGATTAGAGTAGTGTCATTTATTTGACCTCACCATATCAAAATAAAGAATCAACTCAATTAATTCTTCGTGTATCTGGAAGCCCTGATACTGCTTCCCATGGCCTTACTAGTGTAGGTATAGTATTAAGTCATAGGGCAGAACTAGTTCTCTTAAAATGGATCCCAGTAGATAGTCGCTTGTGCCCTGTCCGACTAAACAGAATGATAAGGACTTGGAAAGACAGGGACACTCACCGTTACCTCTTTACTGTCTCTACTTACTCTCCCACTGACTGCAGCTCGGACCATTCGAACCTTCTTCAAAAAGTAAGGCGCTCTGATATAATAATAATAGCTGGTGACTTCAATGCTCAGGTAGGTAGACTAAACAGGAAAGACATCTGGGTGGATGTTATGGTGTCGCAGCTCAAAGAACAGATAATAGCGACCGTCTGCTGCAGCAGTGGTCAGATAACCACCTATTTCTAGAAAACACTAATTTTAAACATAAGGAAAAACATTTCTCGACTTGGCGAACTCCGAAGCCGACCCAACTAGATCACATCTCCATCAGCCACCGATAGAGGACTTGTCACTCGTTCTGGAGCACTTGTTCAGATTCCGACAGTGCTTTGGTGCGACGCGTATTCGTTTGCGGCTCACCGGACGTAGGAAAGACACTGCAAGAAAACCTCTTAGGGTTCGACCTAATTATAGCAAAACTAAGAATATATTTCAGGAGCAACTAGAACAACAGTTAGACGGCCATGTAAGTGATTCCCATCCAGAGGCAGCTTGGAAAAATATACAAAAGAGCTGTGGGAACAGCAATGATATCTGGTAAAGAAGACATGGATTCATACCGATTTAGATGAAATTGCATAAAACACAAAGAAAATTCTCTTTTAAAAAAACTAACCTCAATCCAATAGAGGGATCAACAGCAGTATAGATATATCGAACTAATTTCATTATAGTTATAATACGAGGATTCGTTAACATGAAAGGAGTGTTACGATTTAGTTGTAATCGTTCAGCAAGTTGTATTAGACCACCCAATAAATATTTTAAATCATCAGCCTTAACCTCACGATAGAGGAAAGGTTGTGTAAAAATCTAATCAATGAAAATAATTAAATCAAAATTAGATTAACAATAGAATGGCATTAAACATCATCCAGTGGTTGAAAAATATAATATATATTGAGAATTTTTATGAGACGCTTAGAAAAACAAAACCTTGGGATAAACTAATTAGTATATGTGTGCTATAAAAGTTCTCGTTATCTTATTATAGTTGATACAATTTTATATCCGGTTAATACCGAAAATATCAGTTTGGGATTGAGTTTATCAAGACTAGTTATTATTTATCATAAAACTATTTACTTATATGTATAGATATATAAATTCTGGGGCAGAGTTTTGGAGGTTTGGGTTTTTACACATTTGAAATCATCAATCAATCATTGTTAGACCACCATTAGAAACCTGGAAGCACTGGACAGCCGTTTCGTCCTGGTATGGGATTCATCAGCAGTGCGCATCCACGACTCTTGCGCCCCGCAGGATTCGAACCCGGGGCCTTCGATATTGTGCGCGAACGCTTAACCATCGGACCACTGAGCCGACATCCAACGGTGTTAATGTCTAACTCTGATCTACATATGTAAATATATAATTCGGGAGGATAAATAGTTTTTCGACTTTATAAGACCGTGGATATGCTACTCAGGTTGATCTAACAAGATGGTTATTGTTGATTACGCTGGGTGATGCTAAGACGCAAACATATAAATGAATTGTGAAACTAAGGAACAATGGTTGAACGATAACTATGTACACTACTAACAAGTGCTTCAACATAACAATTGCATTTTAGGGTAATTTCATAACAAATGTTTACAATGGAAGTGAAATATAATAATGATAAAGTATATAAAAATGGTAAATAAAAAAGAGAGAAATCTTTAGAAATATAGCTTACACATATTAATTCACCGCCTAGACAATCCATGAAAATCGCTTGACCTGCGTTAGATTCACTTTTGTACAAACGGTTACAAAGTAACGTCAGCTGAGTGATAATTTGTGGCATAAAGGGTGGAAGTAGATTACATGTTCGTGGATCTAAATTCGTGTGACAGAAATAAAAACAATCACAATTAGAGAATGTTCACAACGGTTGTAATAACTTAGGTATCATACACTTTTAACATGACTTTGCAGTTACAAGACAACTACGTGTAGTCGTTCACCTTCGAGTTAACTAGGTATCCGTTATAAAATGGTTCGAATGAGTGAAGCTAGTTTTTGGAAGGTCAGTACTAATAACTTCATTGTGCATTTATAAAACACTTTGTATATGAAAATTTTATCTTCGCCTATCTGTAAGGTTTCATTTTATTTTTTAACAATCTACAATCGAGATTTTATGATCCTAAATGTCCTAGTTAGACACATTTTAATTTCTTATCTATTAAGTATTGTAGTACTATGATTCTTGCAATACAAAAATGTGAGTTTTCTAGTCAGATAAACGAAGTCGTTTCTTTTATTGTATTGTGATTAAGGTCTGGTGACAGGTACTGTTGGTACACTAAAATGCGCTAGCCTATCAAGTTAGTTAGCTGAGGCACTGGTATTATTGAGTCCTACATAGTAATTCAAAATTATATTAAAAATCATCAGTTCAATCTAATTGATATACAGATCCACAAGTGCATTTATATACTGATTATTTCAATTGTCACATAAATAACAGTTGAATCAGAATCGTCATGATCAAAAATGAAATCACATTCAGAGAACAGTGCGTAGAAAAGAGACTAAAATTTACCCTGAATCAATACTTCCAAGTCGATAAGAGCCCCAAGGACGATGTTATTGAAACCCGATCGATCATCTTCGTTTTCATCAGTGTAGACCTGGTAGTTGTCAGTTGGTGGTATACGATTTTCATCTTGCACATTATCGTCCAACACAAAACCTCCTAACTGGTCAACTAAACAAGATAAAGCTACAGTAAGTTGATTTGAAGCTGCTATTCTGTCTGATTCACTTAAGGATGGATTGTCACGTGCAGTAATTAATGGTAATAGAAGAGAAGGTGCGGCTGGAGACAAGTGAAGTGGTGGTGGGCTTTCAGGTCGTTTAGTACTAAAATATACATTGAAGATAGTAATAATAACAGTTCAAATACAAACTTAACAAACAATTATTACGTTATTAAGCAATAGTAAGAAATGGTAGTGAAAAATGATCAGCTAGAGAATAAATTTAATTTATAAGTTCTTGGCTGGTTATCATTGCAAGTACATACTGGTCACATTAATAATAGATCATGGCTTATCATATATCTCTTTCAAAATAACTTGGTTTCAATTTTAATATCGAAAAATAATTGTTCTCGAATGGAAGCCTGCCTTTTGGCGAATTCTCCCATTTTCGAACAACGAGAAGCGTGTCACGCTCATACGATTCTGAGATGGAGGAGCCAGGTCATCTGCGAAGTCGAAGTCGTCTAGTTATGTCCTAGCTGTCCACTGTATCCCTTGCTTCCGCTGAGATGTTGAGGTTTACACAATCCAGTCAACCACCAGAAGCATGAAAAAGAGTAATGGTAAGCATTCTTGTCTAACACTAGTTTTCACTTAAAACGATTCTGTGGGCTGCCCTCCTTGCACGGTTTCTGGTTGTCACCAGTCGGTTATAAGAATTCAGTAGCATGTTAGCAATCTTCCGAGGCACACTGTAGTATCGAAGAAACCACCATAATTTCATCCTGTCCACGTAGTCGAATGCTTTCTTGTAGTTAAGGAAGTTGATGTAGAGTGGTGAGTTCTGTTGAACTGATTGTTCCACAATGATCCGTAGTGTGGTGGTTTGGCGGGTATATGATCCAACTTTATGGAAGACATTACCCAGACTAAATAGAAAGAAACTACAGGTTGCTTAAATTGACAGGAATTTAATTTACTGAATGCTTAGCAATGGTTTAAGAGAAACCATAAAACTATAACTGGCCAATGACTTTATGCATCTATTTATTTATATGAATATGTTTTAGTATAATGAAGTAACTATATCACACTGATCACTGAGTTGCCAATGTTGTGTTCGTCCAAGCCTTAGTATTGATCGAATCCCATTGATCAAGAGTTTGCTACTGATCACCTTCAGCCGAACATCTGAGACTATTGGTTCTATCAGTCAATGAAAAACATTTTATTTTCTTTGCTCAAGTAATTATTTGAGTTTCAAACTAGAAACTTGATATATGTTATAATCTGATAGTTTAAATGCGCAAGCTGAGTCTAGTAGGCTTACGAGATTTGATGATTGTATAAACAGGTAATTATTCATTTTGAACCTCAGTTAGTTAGATGATCACAATAAGTAAACAGGTGAAATGGTAAACATGCACAGTTTACAATTAAATAGATAAAATAGGTTGATTACCATGAGAATCGTGAGTTAACTATGAAGATTAACACAAACGAAACCCCAAAAATTATACCACAACAGTAGACAACAGCCAAAAGAACGTAAAATAGGAAAACTTACCGACTATACTCTCCTGTATAAGGTGCAGTTATTATTGAAGTATCTCTTGCTGTAGAAAACTGAAAAGGTGTTTTTATTGAAAACTCATCAACGTGATTTGAAACAGCTGAAGTTAGGTCAGTATTAGATGATGACAGATATTGTTCAAGTAATCTTTTATCCTTTTCTGGAAGCTAAAAGGTTAGCATAAAAGTAATATGTTATATTTACTGGAGAAAGAATAAAAAAACATCTCAAAATGACCACTACCACAAAAATCACTAATATAATGGTAATCTCATCGACCCATTATCATCGAAGCATCTTTCAAGACAAAGAAAGAGGGGAGTACAATAAATTTCATTCAGTGCTATGCGCCAACCAACGACAACAATATAGGCAATATGGATATATTCCATAAGACATTGCAGACAACCGTAGAGAAATGTTCAGCAAAAAAATGAAGAAAAATATCTAATGACTGTCTTCGAAAAGAATGGCTATCCACGCGACTGCATCAAAAAACATCAACAGAAGTGAAACGAAGTACAGGAACCAATAAACGGACCATCCTACCATACATAAAAGACACATAGGAACATACAACACAACTACTGAAACCATTTGGAATAGGTGTGGTACACAAACCAACAGAATCACTTCAATCAATCCTATGCAGACCAAAGGACAAGAAGACAAAGGAAAAAAAAAACCAAATATCATCTACAAAATAAATTGCTCAGACTGTGAAAAACACTACGTAGGACAAAGTGGAGGGCCTCTTCAGCTTCGTTTACATGAACACCAATTAGCAGTCAAACGCCATGACAATTCGTCGCTTATATCAATACACACCGATAATTATCAACATACATTCGAATGGGACAATGTAGAAATACTGAATAGGAGGAGGAAAAGGAACACTAGAGAATTTTTAGAAGCTTGGCACTCAGGTCAATCAGCAATCAACAAACACATCGACATTGACCCAATTTATCAACCAATCAGAAAAATCATAGGCGACATAGGATCAAGAAACAGATCAAAAAGAGGATACAATCAAAACGAAGGTGCAAACAACGACAGACTTAAGGTCAACAACAACTAATCAAGATCGAGGTTGACAGAACAAGCTACGGGTCAAACGTGGAGAAATGCGAATGCTTCACTCCTATCTGAAGTTTGTGCTAATGATTTTGTTCAGAACAATGAACGCTTCACAACCAAAACAACCAGCCCAGAGAACGACATATCACCACAATGACTTAGCTCTTTAACCACACACACAGCAACAAATTCAAGTTAAAATAGACGGAGTAGCAACAGCCTCTGAAGCAATAGGTCTTAACATACACAAGGAAAAAGCAGGATCCTAAGGTACAACAAAACACGCAACAACCGAATCACACCTGATGGCGAATCTCTCAAAGATGAGGAAAGTTTTGCGCAATTAGAGTGCATCATTGGTAAACAAGGTGGATCTGATGTAGATGTAAACACAGATCGGCAAAGCAACAGCAGCATTTTTACAGTTGAAGAACATCTGTAACTCAAAACAACTATCAACCAACATCAAAGTCACAATTTTCAACACAAACTTTAACATAGTTCTATTGTATGGAGCGGGAACTTGGAGAACTACGAAAGCCATCATCCACGAGAAAGTTGCCTACGCAAAATACTGAGAATCAGTTGGCTAGTAACCATCAACATCTATCTACTGTGGGAGGGAAAAATCAGATTAGAACAAGCTGGAGTTGGATAGGGTATATATTGCGGAAATTACCTAACAATGACATGAAGCCAACATCGATTTGGAACCCTCAAGGTCAAAAGACACATTACATCGGGAATCGGAGGCAAACATTAGAAGCATGAATAGCAATCAGGAAAAACTGGAAAGGAAGACAGGAGACAGAGTTGGGTGGAGAATCCATGTCTGTGGCCTATGCTCCATGAGGAGTAACAGGCGTAAATAAGTGAATACGTATTGAAACAGCACCAAATAAGTCGATTAGATATCCACTGAGTAGAACCATCGGAGAGCAACTATGCAAGCTAGTTTGAAATCCATAAAAGGATAGGAACAACGAATTATGTATATATGTACATTACAAATACGTGCACACATTTTCGTGTACTATGTCATTTACCAAATGCATGAAGACCGACGATAACACCCGGCAGCTCAAAAATGGGTCTGGGTGAAGAAGGTTCACACTTGTGACTTAATATGTCATTTCATACACAAGAACATACCACTCCTAATCATTCTATTCTAACAGATGAACTGTACGTAAACTAATAAAGGTCGTACTACAGGACCATGAAATTTAGACGGTATGGGGAGATTATTATTGGTAGTCACCCAACCAAAATTTTACAAAACTTACGTTACCAACATGCTGCCAAAATAGGGGTCCTAAAGATTTATAAGCTACACATAAACAATTTAATGCAGACTTCTTCACACCAGAATCAGAGTCAGCAAGTTGTTGAGCAATTAGTTTTAAGCAGAGTTCTGAAGTAAATCCTCTTGGATCGACGGAGCGCGGTATCAGACTGAGTAATTCTTCAAGACAAACTAAAAGGGAAGTAATACAGACAAATTAGTAAAAAGGAATCGGAATAAAATATCGAGAAATTCGATGAGTGATCAAAATAAGAACAAAATGATGGCCTATTAACTATACTATGAAAATTTATGGTGGGATAGGTAATTCGGGAGACGATCAGTAATCCACTTTAAATTTTATCATCCAGAGAAGTTGACCAGAAACTAATTCTTCATGTTATATTATACCTAAGAATTACAGACAAAGCCTGGCCTATTGAGACGATAAGAATAAACGTCACTAAATTAATTAGATTAATTAAGATAGGTTTAGGTTACGGCATACGTGGATAATGAGATGTTCAGAAAGCTTACGTCATTTGTGGCGTGGTATTGTATTTATTCATTTAGACAAAAGAAACATTAGAACAGAGGAACATCTTAATATTTATGCACCACATAACACAATGAACTTATGCGCGGACTTGGACACTGTTTGGGTGCTCAGAGGACCAGCAGCTCCTTGAGCCTTTGGCCCAAAAGCCTAATTCATACGGCAGTAAAGCAATGTTAGGAGTTGCAGTCCCATGTCAGTCTATGACCGGCAGTAGGTTCGTAGGTTATTTGTTCCATCAGGATCCTGAAGCCTATGTGCACCATTAGTTTGGAATCAAGGTTTTTCGACTCTCCCAAATGGGTCCTCTGTACCCACCAACCTAGGTAAACTTTTGATCCTCTCAATTTCATAAACAAAACTCTGCCACGAGAAAGCAGTAGCAATATACACATGACCATATGAGAGAGCGAACTCTCTCCACTCTCGTCTGTACCAGAGTATGCAAAGAAAAGAAAACGAATTTGGTTTCATATTGGTGTATAGAGAAGTTAGCATGAAAAGGATAAACAGGAGGTTGTTTATAATAGGCATTAATGTGAAATTCTTACATAATGTTAATTTCATTACTAACTTGGTTATTCTGTTTAACTGTGCAACAAATATTTTCTGTAAATAATAAATATGTAGTTCAAAACTAGACGAGAATAACATATAAATCACAGTAACGTAAACGTAAACACCGATTTATGTTGTGAGGTATACATATACATATACAATGACAAGACAGTCACAACATTTGGTAGCTGAAACAACCGACAGATGAGCATATTTTCGTGAATCATAAGTTTACAATATGAATTTTATACTTTCAAAATTGTCATAGTATTTTAGAATAATAAAATAATGACTGGAAGAGGATAAAACAAAAAAGAGACAACTTACTTTGGCGCATTTTCGCAGTACTACACTGATGCATATACTTAACAAGTATGTCCATCAATAAACTAGGAGGATAAACTTGACGGATAAGATGTATGGAATCCGATGCATTACGATAAATCACTGAATCTTTATAGACAGTTACTGATTGAAGTTGACAATTTAATAATGGAATAAGAATAATATTCACTTCTTGTTCACTTAATCTCAAATCATTCTGAGCAAATAACGAAATTACAGCGGTCAAATAATCGAAAGCTACATGATACACACACACAAAGAAAATTCATAATGAAAAGATGAGTATACTGTTAACTATGCTCTTTGGTAAATAAATTTCAAAATCAAATTATCTGTAATATTACGGAAAACAAAGTGAGTCAAGGGCTACATTGTTGCAATATTTCAATCCAGAATGGACGTTTTGACATCAACCCCAAATGAATTACAAAAGAACTTAGTCTGAATCATCAGTGGACTTGTTGGTTGAACGTGATTGGATTCCTAACCGCTATAATAGCATCCCAATAACACATGAATCTACCGGTGGATAACAACACTATACCATTATAAACTAAATTAATGAGGTATGATAGATACTTCCTAAAAAATGATTACAAAAATGTATTATCAAATTAAATGTTTATGAAGTTCAGGCTTATTGTGAAAACAAGAGCCTGCTTAGACTTTTGGGTCACAACTTTTCTAAACGAGCTCTTACTTCCATAGGCTTTTGTGTTTTAGATTCATTTTAATTAACTAATCACGCCAGCTAGCCACATTTTCTTTCACAGTGTTTACAAACTATAACGAACCGAATTACTACGGTAGTTTGTATTTTTTAATGATCGGTCCTATTGAGAAATGAGAAGCGATTGCTTGAGAGTATACTTCGAATATAATAGATGATGATGTGATCGTAAAATGATTGATTGTAAACACAAAACAATAAAAAAGTGGATTTTACTAATGCCTAAAAAAATTTTTATACATGCATATTTATTTGAATATTTACAAAATAAATACTCGTAAAACGAGAATTTCGTCACACTACTAAATATGTTTGTATTCAGAACTCCTTACTGTAATCAGAAATTTGGTATTGAACAAACAGAGTATCACTATTTACATAAAAAGCTTATCGATTATTTTTTTTAGAATAGTGGGCAAACAATAAGTGGTTATATTCATGTTGGTGATTTTAAAAAGACGATGAATTTCGAAATCATCTATCAAAAAGGCGATAGCAGTTAAAACTACTGTAATTGATACGAATCTGATATTACTTATCTGGGGAGTCTCATCAGTGCTGATGAACTGGTGACTGACGAAATCTCTGCATGGGTACAGAAGGCTCCATTGGTTTCTGCCAACTTGTGTCACTTATGGCGCAGGCGAGATATTCGTTTGCTAACTAAAGGACGAGTGTACTGCGCAGTAGTTCGCTCCGTCTTACTTTATGGCTGTGAAACATGGCCAGTGAGAGTAGAAGATATTCGTAGGTTACTGGTTTTCAATTACAGGTGTCTCTGAAGAATTGTTCGTGTATCCTGGGACAACCGAGTAGGCGATGCTGTTGTTAGGAGACGGGTAGTGGGTGAGGTTGGCAAACCAATAGATGAAGCATTGAAACTTCATCAGTTGAAGTGGTTGAGACATGTGTTACGTATGCCTAACCACCAACTTCCTCAACGAGAGATATTTTGTGTTGTAGGAGTAGGTTGGAAGAAAGCTAAAGGCAGCCAAATTAAAACATGGCAGAAATGCATGAAGTCACTGACAAGTGGTCTGAGTCATGTTTGTAGGTGTACATTACCTGGTTGGGGTCAACGAGATGACAGTAATTGATGGTTAGAGACCTTTGAATGACATGGATCAAAATAATTTGCGATGGAGCAGATCTATTCATTCTATGTGTTCTCTCAAACTCTAATGTTCTGAATTCCTCATTACCTTTATCGTTCTCTTTTGAAGTTTATTTCACTAGATTCTACTTCTTGAATAATAACTTCGAACCCTAATCTCTCCGATTACTGCTAATACTTCTACTACCTCTACTACCATGGGATTTGAATCGACTAATGCGTCTCTATTCTAATTTTGTGGTATGGCAGCGTGAACTGTTTTACGTGCGTATGTACAAAGTTCTATGTTGTGGTTTGGCTGACTGACCAATCTGATAACTATTAGTATGAATGAATAACAAAATAATTTCAGAAATGATAACAAGAAACCCTAACTTTTAAGATGAGTATGTCAAATAAGGAAATATCATAGATATTAGGAAAAGTTCAATCTTTGGAGTCAGGAAATAATAACAATAAAAATCTAATAAGTTAGCTTAGTTCTATTGTGTTTTTCTTTTAAAGCACAAGATTTAGATATTGGTTGATAAGACATTAATTGTATACGCACTATGTAAGAAATTCCAAATTATGACTTAATTACAATTCAGTGTTAATCAATTCAAGAAATGGTCGATCGCAGTTTTCTGATGAAAAAGATCGTCACCTTTAATATATTAGTTAGAGTGGATCCCATGAGTTAGAAGATTGATTGGATAGTTAAAAAAATAACAACAAATAAGTGTCAACATTTATTGATTACTGTTGAAGGAAACCATTTAGGCATTAAAGATCCACCAAAGAGAGACAGAGAGAGCAGTACTATCCATAGTGTGAAGATTAAAAATTAAAAAGTTAACTCACCACGACCTAAAACAGTTTTACAATCATTATATTCCGATTGTTGAAAATCACCTTTCAACCAATATCCAAAACAATATTCTTCAATCCACATTAAAATTAAATCAAAATGAGCATAGGTAACAATTAATGGTGATGGTATTGTATTGGTATCTTTACGATTCAATGAAGAAATTAATCTATCCAATGCTTCAAGATGACTTTCATATGATGTAGAGAATAAATGTTTCTTTAGATTAGGATGAATATGTGATTCATCAAACAAATGTTGCAATTCATCCTTACTGATCATTTTGTGCTAACGAAATAAACGAAAATAAATTTGCAATAAGATGAAAATACACTTATAAATGTATCGAGATCATAAGAACATACCGAGAACATTAAACGTATCAAGACTGAGATAATAAAAGTTAACTTGACATAATTTACTAAAGATTCTCTCATAAAAACAACAATGCTACTTTACACGTATAACATAAAAGTTTCATCTAGGTTAATTACATTTTGTTAAGGTCGAAATTATTACTGGTTCACCTTAGTCGATAAACGAGAACAAGACAATAAACCAACGTCCAGGTAGGCTACCCTGATCCGATCACTAACCAAACAGTCTTGACATAGCGTAGAAAGTATATTCTACAATCACCCAGCAAGCACAATGAATTCAAGTATACATATCGCGTTTATTTGTAAATCATAGAAACGTCATTGGGACAGTCACAAACATAGCACACTAAGATACACAGCAGCTAATCACAGCCAATGATTTTCCTGGTGGGAAATGAAATCTCAAGGTCAACTGATCAGCCCATGCTTGGAAACATAAAATCCAAAATTAAGGCATTTATCAAGCGATTTTAAGGGATCTAACGTCCACAACACATTTATTGGTAGAATCTACGATGTGCCTTTCGCTCTATTTGAGACTCGTCAGGCAAACATCATAGTAGTGTTGGATGTTTATACTTGGATTCGCTGCCAAAACCTTTTGTTTCAAACCCCAAAATACTATCCAATAGCTTACTAAATCGAGACAACTAACTTTTTCAATGGGTTCAATGCTTATATTATTAGTAGTGAAAATTTAAATTATCTCTTTGAAATTCAATTCTGCGATTCCCATCGACACAATTAACGGGTCCGAAAAAGAGAATAAACTGGAGCTTTGAATTATGCCGCTAGTTAAAATCTTTTTAATTCAACTTATGATAAAATAGGAATATTGGGGCAACCTGTAAAGAATGCTGAAATGTTAACAACTATTCATCGAAATCCAATCCTGAATTCTAACAGTGGGATAATTCAAATATTTGGTGCAAACAAAGACTTTTAGATTAAGTGTAATTCCTAACAAATAGACGAGACAACATAAAATACCAGTGAACAAATATATATGTTGTGTCACCGGTCGAAAATTTGAAGAGAGAAAGCTACATATAGGGCAGTCAACACTAAAAGTATTGATATAAACCATTCGAGTGTAAGTGAACGTAGTAAACAAAGATTTATACATACCATAATGCATATGTAAACTTGATAGATACTGGTGGATTAATGAAAAAGATGGAACTTTGGGGACTATTCTGCGGAGGAACATTATACAGATTTCGATGATATATTTACGGTATTTTTTTATATTGCTCTTATTGAAGTCCATAGGTTATAGTTAATTATTAACCAAGTTGTGTACTACAAATAATTTAGGTAAGAACCAGTGATTTCCTACTAGTAGTGAATTATAATCTTACAACTGATATATATCATCACAGCCGACACGACTTTCCTTGTGTTCAGATTAGGTAGAGTTGATGCACAGTAAAATTATTTGAAGCACTATGCTAAATGAAGATTAGTATTGTTGGCGGAATCGAACACGTGACTAATGGATTCAGCAAATTAATGACCTTCTGAGGTTAGATTTACAACAAAACTGAATCACATTATATTTATCCATACAAAGTACTAAACGTGACGAAATATCCTACTAAAGAAAAATTCAATAAATATACTAAACTGACCTTTTTTAAATTTTCCAAGCGTATTTCTTTAGTTTGTAGTAAACTTGTTTCATCATTGGATTCAACAAAGAAAATAGTATCAGAAATATTGGAACTAGTCACATAAGTTGTTTTACCGACAACACAATCTACATTTTCTTGTTGTGTCGGTTGTTTTGTTACTGCTTCAATGAAACCTTTCCTGTGTAAGGAAAATTAGAAACGAATATCATAAAATGATTATTTCCCATTATGTACGAAAACTTCTATATATATTAATTACTTCAGCTATGCCCAAAAAATAAGGCACTGATTAAATTGATAGTATGCGGAAACAAATATCAATACGAGTATACATCATTACAAATTGGTTTTTAATGGCTTGCAAATATAAACTATTGGTTTTTTTTTTAAAACTGTGCTGAGAAATGAATTTAATGGAAAAAGTATGATTATTCTTATTAGGAAAATTAAATAACAACATGTATTCCATGGTATAACAACAACGGCTATGATAGTTGACATAACTTAACATCTCTGTGTATGTAATTTGTAAACCACGCATAAGAAACGATGTTACTGTCACAGAGCCTTAGTAGCTCACAAATTTAATTAAATTAATTATAACTGAATTAAGACTAAGGGAGTTATGCAAAGTGGCATGCAACAGTGCGGATGTTCAGTGCTGTGGTTAATTGATCTTCGCTTAGTAACATAACGAACTGTAATTTTCTACAATTAACTAATGCACAGATAGATTGTATTATAAATTTTACATAATTGGAGTGACACTTAGCCTAGTTTTACGTATATATACTTAGTTGGATTGTGGCTAGCGGTGGAATTTCGTTAGAAGGACGTGAAACTGGCTCATTCTTAGCCAACAGCTTGAGACAGTCCTAGATCATCATTATTATGTAAAAATTATAAATATGCTAACGTTTTTACTACTATGATTCGTTCGCGTTCAGCTTGGTTTGTCGTAATATGATAACTGTCTGTTCAGGCCATGTTCTAAGTTTATGGACTAGCTGAGCGTTGTACAATGTCGAAGAATACTAAACAATTAAGTAGCTATGTTGTATAAGCAAGACCATTGAAAGACATATGAAGAGCGTAATATTAAACTTGCCAGATGGAAGTAACTATATCTCCGAAGAACCCAGTACTGACATTGGTCATTACTTAGTGATCAACCAATTGTAAATATCTCAGTCCAACAAGAGGTGATACGCGAACCTAATCGTTTAACGTCTTAGACCCCGAAACTAGGTAGCTCAGCTTCAATTTACTTTGAATGTCCCTAACAAACAACAATAACTGATCACTAAAGTGTTACAATAATTATTGTGTTTGAAAACAATCGATGTCAGTAGTAAACGTATTCTCAAAATGTAGATTATTTCTTAAACGGTCTACCGATTCTAACAATTACCATTGATTTGAAAAACAATATATTCACATATACAGTATTTTAATTACAATCCAGTAATATATAGTAGCTGGAGCATTTTTATTCTTCTGAAAATGCTCAATAACAGACAGTAATTAGACCATTTGTATATGCCAAAAATATGTATGCCATTTCAGTAAAAACAAAGTTTGCCAATAAAAACCTACTTGTATGGCACTGAACTACGTTCTGCAATTGGACTTTCATCTGAATCGGAAAATTCCAAAACACCCTCAGCATTAGTAAGCCTTTGTAATGGTGAAATTGGTCCTATCAAAGCTGTCATTCTTCTTTCTTTAACAGACCATGCTTCAACAGCAGCTGGTGTTAACGCTTCTAATTCATAGCATGTTGAACTATTATTTTTAGAATCCGAAGGTGAAACAGTATTTTTATCAATATTTGCAAACTCTGCTTCGAGACGTTGTAGTATTGCTGGCTTTTCAGATGAGAAAAATGAACGAATATTGATAGTAGAATGCAAACAAGCGTAAAGTGCACCAGCTAGTTCAATTGCAGAACCACGTACATCAGGTGAAGGAGAGGCAAGTCCAAATTTCACAATTTCTATAGGTAGTTGGTGATCAAAACTGAAAATAAACATGATGTGATGTTTGACGTCTTAAATTATTTAAAAAATATTTTTATGCTGAAAAACCAATCACTTATTTCGTCATTTCAAGTGTATAGGAAAAGTGTTGAAACCCTAGACGTTGACCAATATCAAGTGACAAATAAGAACATCAATCAGAATTACAATTAATACCAGAAACCTTGAGCCAGCTCTAAATGCTTATCGATCTACAACTCCACAGCTTCGTTCTATTCACACTGCTTTTTAGTCCAGAGGTCCGTAGCCAAACTCCACAAAATTAGTAATATTTAAAGCAGATAAATTTAAGTACAAAACATACGATAACACGTCACACGATAGAATGAGAAAATACATTTATACACGAGCGAGCCAAAAGTGGCTGTGAATAAGAGACATAGTAAATAATAAACTAGAAACATCTCAAGAATAGTAAGTCATATAACAGTAGTCACTGATAGTCCCAACCCCGAATAAGGAAGGAGGGTTGAGCATGGAGTTAACGAACCCATCCCGTAGAAAACTAACTTGCTGCAAAACTTTGACCAGAAAATGTAATTCAAACAAATTTAATTCTGTCTTGGCAGTTGGAAGGCTTTCATTGACAACAGTTATCACGACTCATGGTGAAAGCGCAGTTTCTTAGGAATTCACGAGGATAATGCCCATTCTCATAACCACAACAACAATAAATATACGTACATGAAATACTCGCACAATGTGGGAGACTGGAAGAACCATTTAAGTTGCAGAGAAAATGAAAAGGTACAACTTGGTGGCACTTGAAATAAGTGAAACACACAGGCGGTAAAAAAATTGGCTTCAGGAGGGATGCTGTTTGATATGCTCGTCAACTGATACGCTTGGAATTATTACGAGTTCACCTTACTCGGTAAACTGCAAGAAAGCATTCGACTGTGTAGACGGGATGAAATTATGGTGGTTTCTTCGACACTACAGTGTACCTGGGAAGATAGCTAATATCCTAAGGAATTCTTATAACCGACTGACGACAATCAGAAATCGTGAGAGGGCAGCTCACAGAATCGTTCTAAGTGAAAACTGGTGTTAGACAAGAATGCTTATCATCAACTTTTCTCATTCTTCTGGGGGTTGACTTGATAATGAAAACCTCAACATCTCAACGGAAGCAAGGGATACAATGGACTGGACAGCATCATAAATAAACTAGGTAGATCTGATGTAGATGCGAGAACAAGGATTGATAAAGCAAGAGTAGCATTCATACAACTGAAGAACATCTGCAACTCAAAACAACTATCAACCAACATCAAAGTCACAATTTTCAACACAAACCTCAGCATAGGTGTATTGTATAATGCGGAAACTGGAGAACTACGAAAGCCACCATTCACAAGATACAGGTGTTTATAAACAGTTACCTACGCAAGATACCCTGGATCCATTGGATAGATACCATCAGCACCATCCTACTGTGGGACGGAAAAATCCGAGGCCCATCTGAAGGGCGCACTAAGACAAGCTGGAGGTGGATAGGACACACATTGAGGAGATTACCGAACAGTCATACGAAGCAGGTCTCAACTTGGAATTACGAAGGTCAGAGGAGAAGAGGCAGACCGAAAGAAACACTGCACTGGGAATTGGAGGCAGACATCGAAGTAACGAATAGTAATTGGGAAAAACTGGAAGGCCCAAGACAGAGTTGTGATGTCACAATCATCCATCTGAGCTACAAATTTTATCCATCATCTCAGGACAGAGCAGTAAGGAGAATCCTGGTCGGTGGCCTATGCTCCACGAGGGGTGACAAGCGTAAGTAAGTAATAACCTAGTTACTTATTAGTTACAGATTAAGACTATGCACGATAAAGATCAATAAATCAGTCTTGGAAATCATCATTTCTTGAATCTTCTTCCTGATTTAGTAAAATGTTATGCCATCACTACACAATAAACAAATGATTCACTATTTTATATGACAAAATTGGAGCAATAAAGGATTATTCAACCCAATAAAATAATGGAATACTACTAGTCAATTGTTTGAAAACACTAATGTTTCCTTTCCCCAGTCACCAAGATATCAGAATAACTAAAAAAAAGAATGTGATACGAATAAATTTATTCATAACTCAACTAGTAAAGACCACTAATGTATTTTAGTAATTTCAGTTTCAGCTAAGATGATTGTCGGAAAAAATCATGATATTTTTACATATCAGTTAGGCATTTAAGATTTTTTTGATTTGTGCTCTTTGAAGTGGTAAACAATCAACAAAACAGTGACTAAAAAATAAATGGAAACTTTTGGAATTTAAAATGTGCTAAATAAGATAAATCAACATTAAAATATTATAAAGTCAACACACAATGGAAGATCACTAAACTTTTTCGGTGTGATCTCAAACAGTTAAGATAGATTATGAGGATTAAAGGCTGAAATCTCACTAAAACTGAAATATCTTGACAAGTAAAGAAGAATAAAAAGTTTATAAACCATTAAACTAGTTATTTGTGAATATAAAAAAAAAACACTTCAAACGGTAAAACTATTCACTTACTTGGAATTTAACGATTTTACGGAGGAAGATAACCATTTTATAAGTGAAGAATGAATTGTAGGAGAAACGTGTTTTTTCAAACCAGTATAAATGCATTCAACGATTTTTGGGAAGCCAATAACATTCATTAAATGTCGAAGAGTTTGTTCAACTAAAGGACCGGATTTAGAATCTCCAATTGTAGCAAATAACTGATCACAAAGCGATACCATTAAATTTGTAGGAATCCAATTTTGAGATTGATTTCGTGATAATAATTTCGACAGGATGTTTAGGATTTCGCAACGGACCTAAAATGTGGAATAAATGGTAATAACTCTGGCTAAGTAACAAGAGTATGCCACTGCCTTTACAAAAAAACGGATTATAGAAAAAAGCCGTGATGATTGCTAGTTGATTGGAAATTGGTTAATGACAGATGGTTAGTTGGGCTGTTACAAACTTGAGAGAAAACGGTACATGCTACAGGGATTCCAAGTTATTGCATCATTTCAGCATATCGAGATGAAATTATCAAGATAAATACCAGTTCAGTTGAAGTAGTAACACAGTATTAATGGTAATGGGAAAGATTGGGTAAAGATAATATGATTTGAGAAGAAATAAATTCATTGAATACAGAATATATAAGGATGATTTAAGAGAAGACAAAGAGTGAATGCATCAGTGTCAGTGTGACTAATTCTGAGAGTGCATTCACGAAGAAAATTATGAGCCTTGTTTTTAAGACTAAAATAAACTGAGCTATTTATTACAACGTCTACAATTGTGCTGATTACAACACAGTCCTAATAAAAAATCACTTAATGCACATCAAAACATCAGTTACTTTTATCCGGTTTCATGGAGTCTTAACTATATGAAACATACTAAATGTTTTCAATATTTCACTCTTTTTGGCTATATAGATGAACAGTGCCAATTCAGCTAGTTTGATAGTTGGTCATTACATTCATAGAATTATTCACAACTATCAGGTGAACAACATAATTAATATCTGAAATGAAACTTTCTCAACTTCTAAATGACTGTCTTTTCGTGGAAAATGAACTTAAAAATGTTACCAGTAAATTCATAAAGTATACGTTTCTGGGTAGTCATACGCATTTTTACTTGATGCGTAACTTCAAAAAAAAATCCATAGAATAATAACCTTTCTACTACTTAAAATTGTCCCTAAGGATACAGTCACATAATTTAGTGTTTCACTGATGATTATTTCGTGACTTTATCAAAATGATCAACTTATTATCAAATGACTTACACGAAAATTAGTATCTTTCACTGTACCACAATGTAGAATATATTGAGATAAGTAATGAATATCAGGGTATTCTGGAGGCGTAGAATCAATAATAGCATTGATACGTTCAGTAATTTGTAAACGAATCTTCCAAGATGTATCAGTAAGTTGTTCTAATGGTAAATTTACAAAATATGTTCTACAAATAAAATGAGAAGAGAGATTTGACAATCACTTAATGGGAACCAGGGTAATTAAAAAAAAATTCCCATATATTAAAATAATGGGAATTTTTTCTATGTTCGAAAGATTTCTGAGTTGAAAGGTTTGATTATCAAGCTTTGATTGTCAATTCTGGATAATAGGAATCAGCACAACTGAGAATAAATAAGTGAACTAGAAAAAATAATTTGCAAATAAAAATCTAACAAAGTATTATTTAGATAATCTGTATTGATACCATTTTATTTCAATTGTTTTCAACATCCCTCTAATATAAATAACTTACATAAGTGTAAGGATATTCACCAAATATCCTAAGAGTATTATTTTTGGAAGTATAATCCTATTGGTCGATTTCTATTGGTCAAAATTATGGTCGTTTTAACTGTCAAAGTCAAATACTTCAATGTTGCCCGGACTGTCAATGTCACAGACTTCGATGCTCTTTCCTATTCGACCTAAATGTATAAATACGCACTACCTGTAAGACTTCATGATTCCGTTCCTTCCTGCCATCCTCTCTACTGTACTTAACCCAATAAACAACTCCATCTAACGGCATTCTGTTATGATATATAGGAGATTGGGAATATTGTTTGGGTCGTATTGGAATATTTGAATCCGGACGTCAGTAGGATTTGAATAGCTACGTAGCAGCATTATAACAGTGATTAATTCCATTTTCAAATGAGAACTACACAGAAACACTTTCCTTATCACCTTGATCTATTGGATATCAATAAATAAGTTCCACTTTTTTTACAGAACAAACAATAATTTGATCAGATGGTAATTTCAAGAGTATAAATACATCCAGTTGGTTACAAGTATATACGGTTATATTAATATGTAGAAGTGAGTACACACTTCTAGGTGTTGGTGAATGAATTGATTTAAGCTGGCAGATTGATAATGTAACTTTCTACATACAGTACTGATTGCTCGAAGATCAACTTTGAAATAATATAAATGAATAAACATAAAAAACAGCTATAACCTCAGGGAAGCAGTGATCAAGTGATTAATGTATGCAACTGTCAACCACTAGATTCTAGCTTCGAACCCCTATCCATTTATTTTGTTTTGAGGAGCCGCGTAACAGTAATAACCCTTATACAAACACAGCATGGCTCATGATGAGTACATAAATTTGTAATAGCGAAAAACTTCTTTTATACCCTTATTATGCCATTTTGTATGCTGAAGTCAGTCAGTCAGTCAGATGCAACGTAGAACTTCATACGTAAGTACATCAGTTCATGTCGCCATACCACATCAGCACAGAGATGTAATTGTCAATTCAAATCCAATAGTAGAAGAGGTAATAAAGGTATTAGAAGTAGTCGGAGAGGTTAGGATTAGAAAATATTATTCAAGAAGTATGATTCAGTGAGATAAGTTTAGAAAGACAAAACTAGAGGTGTTGAATAATCCAGAAGATTAGCATTTGAGAGAACACAAAGAATAAATGCACCGGAGCCATTGCATACGGTTTTGAGCCATGTCATTCAGGGTCTCTAACCATCGATTATTATTGACACAATGTCTGTACATTAAAAGCTCCCAATATGTAGTTTCAAGAGACCAGTAATGACGTTTCGTGAACTCGCATCGTTTGCATTAGCGGTGCAATGAGATAAGGGAATGTGAGTAGAGTTAGTTGTGGAGAGAAGAGAGGTATGTGTGGGTGTAGGAAGGATTTGATTTCGACCAATTTGGTCTCGTGTGCTGTTACGGGTATGAGGGCGGTTGTCACTTCCCGGCTGCCCACACCGTGGAAGTGTGCTGAAACTCTGGTAGCTTATCTCATATTTAGTTCATATTACAAGCAATAAATGGATGAATATTAGACAGTAATTGTCTCACTGAGCTCATCCCAGATCATATTACCAAAAAAGCTAAAAAATAGTCATCAATTAAAAATCTTATAGATAAAATAGGGCGTCATTGCTTATTATATTCTAATAAATTTCAAAGTCTCCTTCAGGTATTGTTTATACCCGCCTACTGGTATGAGAAACTCGTCAGGAGATTATCTGATATCATTTAAATGGAATAATAATAACGCAAATAGACATCTTTCAGTTACATTAAACAAAAATGACGTATTTTGTTAAGAATTCAATGGTAATGAATAAAAATTATAGTGTCACTGTAAGGTTACTTGGTTGTAGTACACGAGATTATCGTAACCAATGGCTAGAGACATTGTGTGTGATTAATTTATTTCCTCTGCAGTCTATTGTTTACTTTGGTTTATAATAGTCTGAACAACTGTTTTGGTTAAAACAAATAGGAAATAATGTTTTACTCGGAATACATGGTGATTGTAAGCTGTTTAATTCTTCTGCCAATAATATAAATTGTGATGTTACTAGAGACTAACAATATAAACGAACAAAACTTACTCAGAAAGCTTATTCCGTAAATGATTTGGAGATAAATTCAAATCTTGGGGTTGGAAACTATCAACTTTTGGCTTGGTACCGTTTTGATTTCCGACTTTTGTTTTGCCCCTCCCAGGAGGTTGTTTTAATCCTTCACGTTTGATTGAAGAAGGGATTTTCGATGGACCCAATTTTGAAGCTGATATTTTAACATTTTGTTTAACATCATGTAATGCAGGCTTTTGATTTGTTGAAAATGGGGTACTAGATGATATATGATTTCGTGTAGGGCTTTTCAAAATTTTATGTAATGCCTGTTTTCCAGTTTTACCAGGTTTATTTGAGATACTGGGTGATGCTCTGATGGCTAAAATTAAAAAAAACACTAATAATTGATGTTAGTTTCTTTTCATAGCTTATCAATGCCTAATTTACCATTTTATGAAGTTCACTGCTCATTTACAACCCTGTATGCTACAGATACAGAGACCATTAAAAATCCATCTGGGTGATCATAACACAGGAGTTAGAAGTTGCACTGATTCAAATCATAGTCTCTACCAAAACAACTTTAATCCAGTATTAATAAATTATGTGCATTTGAATCTTTATCAATCAATTTCCTGATTATTACTTAAAATAAAAAACTGACTGTAAATATAAGCAATTCTTATTACGTATTTTAGATTACTTTTAAGTAACTAGAGAAAATCAAGAAAGATGATATAACGGTTTTCCATTAAACAAATAATTATCTATGATGTTTAACTGCCACATATCTACTATGAGGTTCAATTTGAACAGTATCATCTTAAGGCAAATTGGCTAGGTTTGAGCTAGTAAATTAACAACCAAATGTTAATTCCCTAAACTACCATGTTATAGCTTCACTAAATAAAATTCCAGATCAATATAGTACTTAAATAAGTAGAAAGTTTAAAGCAATCGATTATAGCTTTTATATAAACGTTAACTTACGGGTAACAGGAAAATCAAAATCGTTGACTAGTTGTTGTTGTTGTTGCTGTTGAAAATGTGAACCTTTAGATTTAGATTTCGTGATCAACTTTGGTGAATCAGAGTTAGTGTTGGCTATATTATCTCGTAATATACCTTCATTTAACTGTGCGAAAGCAGCATCTACTTTGACACGTCGTGATTCGTCTAACATGTTATCAATAATATCATTGAATTGTTTACTGTTCAAGTTTAAAAAAATGCGATTTGCAGCAAACACTTGAAAACACGCATCACGACATTCTGGAGTTTTGTGCTGAGAAAATTTAGCAACATTAGTCAAAAAAGGTTTTGAAATTTTCAAACGTTGTGAAAGTTGAAGTTCTTGTCTTAGATTACTTTTACAAAATAAATGGGCGAGCAAACGTAAAGCTTCAGTCTGTGTTTTTGCCACTGGAGTATTATTTAACGCTGTTTGGAGTTGTACTAAAGCCAAATCAAAAGGCATCTACAAAGAAATCAACAAAAATATTGATGTTTACTATGTTCTAAAGCAAGATTCAACATACAATTCCTTGAAAACGTATAACGGACATTACTATGAGAAAAACAAGACCGGAAGGAATTTTTAAAATGAATAAAGTATTATGACATAATCAATAAACTTTTATCCACATATTCTGATAATGAATATCATTTGGTGTAATTACTTAATGATCTTATCTGATTTTGCAATTTTTCCGGTGACAAAATAGAATAACAAGTGCAAGATACATTAGATATAATGCCCTCATTTTCATCTTCGGATCAATTTATGGTAGCTATTGAACTCCCATGAAACAAATCCGATTCAATTTTATGTTGACCAACATGACAGACAGATACAACGCAGAACTTCGTACGCAAGTACATCAGTTGAGGTTGCCATACCACATCACCACAGAGACGCAACTTCAAATCCAAGAGTGATAGCGACAGTAGAAGTATTAGCAGTAATGCAGAAGATTATAGTTCGAAGATATGATTCGATAAGTATAATTCAGTGAGGTAGATTTAGAAAGAGAAAGACAGAGGTGATGAGAAATTTAGAAGGTTAGAATTAGAGAGAACACAAAGAGTGGATGCACCTGTGCCATTGCAAACAATTCTGAGCCAACATGATGTTAAAAGTTAAATACAAAATAATTTGAGGACACATTTCAGGTAAGCATACCGGCAAGCAAACCATGATGAAGAAAGTTAAATAAATGGAGTACAAACGTGGCCTTGTAGCCAAATTATCGAATGGATTTGTGCCTTAGCTTACATACACTTGAATTTAGAAGAATAAATAAATATACAAACATAGATATATACATGTAAAAGTGTATTGGAATAAATGAGATCACCAAAGAAACATATACAGGGTTTGAAAAAATAATTCTAAAGACTGAAATAGCTCACTAGTCATACGATCTACGAACAATTCAGTGCTTTAATTTTCCATACTAGAATAATGACGACAGTAGTCACTGACTGAATCAGAATATTTCCAGATACTGAGAGAAATAACTACCAATGAGAGCTAGGCATTGGTACGTGATAATAACTAATGCGGACAATGGCCTGAAGTGTTTCAGTATATTCGAGCAATAAAAGTCAAAATGTAGAGGTTTTGTGACGAAGAAGCCCACTAAAATTACACATTAGACGACCACGAGAAGTCAGATCATACATTTTCAGGCAAAAACTACAGAAACCCTAGAATTTCGTTTTTAGTTTCAAATATAGTTGATTGATTAGAAAATTGCTCTGAAATGACTGTTTTAACAATTCACGGTTCTCAACGACTTTAGAGCCTGATATAGCTTACCATCTGTATTCAAGTTAATTAATCAAATTATAAACTAAATATACTTTGAAAGTCTAGGCTGTCACAATTTAATTGTTTATACCCATGTAGGAGCGGTAGTGTTGGATTAGGTAACTACTTCAAATTTTTGGAATTTCGGCAAAATATTTTTTGGATACAAGGGTGTAAATCGACGACTGAAAGTCAATAGAAGTGATAGTTTATGCACGAAATAACCAGAGGTGTTTTTATTACGAACAACAGAGTTTATTTTAGGTATAACCTTGTGAACAAAATTGATTTTTTGGTAACTGATGTCTACCATCACTTCTGTCATGAAACGAGGATAAGTACACAAGAGTACAGTTCATGACTATTTAAAAAAATTCCCTTTTGAATATCACCAGTATATAAACTAATGTTAAATAAACAAAATTTTGTCAATTAAAAGCATGAATAAATGTAAATGAGTTTTCTTTAAAATATGTGATTGAAACTGACTGTATCCACAATGGCAGTTGTGGCCAAACGTAAAGCTTGTGATAAATTAGCCTTAGTATCTTTAAACTTCAATAGACATGCAGTTAAAGCCCGTTCTGAATGAACAACAAAACCATTTTTCATTGATTCAGCTACTTCAGATAAGACAACAGCTGCACGAATTACCAGCATTGAATGTTTATCAGATGTAATTACCTAAAGAGATGAGAGAGACAAAGAGAGAGAGGAAATACCATAAAAATATTTGGAAACCAAAAAACGGATATCCAAGTCGATTATAGTCAACTACAAATAAGTGTTTTAACTGACTCGAACATATAAAGAACTGGAGATAAATAACATTTATTACGCATAAGAAAATGATTAGAAATGGCTGGCCAAATCATAACGTAAAGTTTAAACGTGTGATGTAACAGTAAAATGATTGACTTAATAGGCCCTGAGTTCATGATGTTAATAAGTTAAACACAAGAAACATTAGATCGTAGAAAGGATACGTGGTTGACAAAGGCCATGTGTACACAGAAAACAGTATTTCGTGCATCTTTATTTACTTATACAGTAGTTAGTAACTGGTCTCTAAGCTTCACTGCAGAAGCTAGTGTTTCACATCATGAGTTCACTTCTTTAATCTCCGAATAACATCATGTTTAAGTGTAATTATAAGTTGCTCTCCTTAACTATTAAGCTACTATAATGATTGTTTGCAACCTATGCAAAACTAAAAGTTCCTGGAATTTTTGTTCATATCATGTAACCTCTTTGAGAAAGTTAGAAGCTGTATTCAAAATATAAAAGCATACAAATTATCATCATCTAGACAACTGTATATTCCAGATGCGGTAATAAGTCTATGAGTAAAATGCTTACAATGATACTCTTATATGGTGAAAACATCCAGTTACTCGAAACACTACTTTGACATGGTTAAAAATAATGCGTTAAAAGTTTTTCAATTGGATCTACAGCAAAACTTGAATATGTAATTTAAATTGATACCGTTTTTATAACTAATAAGATCTATTTTTGGGATAAAATCAGTATCAACTTCATTTAAACTAGCTGAATGATAGTTATACAATAATTAATGAAAAAGTAAGAGAAATTCTTACTTGACATAGTGCTTTTGTCACAAGACCACAGATCGTATCAGCTAATGTAGAACATTTTAGCTGGTTACTGATTACCTCCAAAACTTCTTTACGCTCTTGCCAATTGCTTGACTCCTATGAATTCAAAATGATGTTAATGAAAAGTACTCATAATTTCCAAAGAAGAGCTTATTCGTCGACTCCACCTACACTTATACTGATTACAGCCCAACCTTCGAAAAACTTAGAATCTAATATGGTAATAGTGGTGAGTCACTTAAATGCTTAAGTAGGTAGATTAAATCAAACCGAAAGATAATTTCTGGGATTCTTAAGGATATAAGCTTAGCGACACCAGTTAGATTAACTGAGATCTCAGTTAGGATCTGAGAACTGGACGTAATACCATGCGACTGATTTCGATCACTAATCGACACAGTCTATTAGAAAGAACGTCTTTCTGTGAAGATTATAGAGGAATCAGTCTAATTAAGTGTCGAAAATGTTACCTCCCATAGTGGGGGATAAAAGTCGGCTTTTACTTTCAAGTAGTGTTCAATGGATGGTGGGACTCAGTCTCAACAACTGACGCAAGCGGCGGGGACCAGGCTAGTCCCCCATTCTACCAAGACCCACCGATGATTACGAAGTATACAAGAAGACAATATACAATTATTACGAGTGGTGATGGATGTAGGTCAAAGAAGAAGTTATCCCCACTAACCAAATAGTGTACACCCAATCAAGCTCTGGAACAGAGAAGACTTTAAACTAATGAACACATTTACAGGCATACCAAAATACGAAGGAAACCCCCAGACCCGTCCAGATATCTCTATAAGCAATAAGATCGACTCGACAATAACTGGAAACAAATCCTACATCCAAATATGCGATATATATGTCAACCGATCCCTCAAGCCAACTAGGTAGTGGCTATATACGCATGACCATATGAGAGCATTTCAAGAGAGCGAATTCTCCACTCCCAACCGTAGCTGCTACCTTGAATTGATGGTCGGGCTTGCTTATTGTGATGACCCAACTGAGCTATATTGGCTGGAACGAATGCTCCTGTAGGTTCTACCATGTCAGGCAGGTCGACTGGAGAACGGTGAGACTAGAAACAGCACCTCAACATCTGAGGGCGAAGTCGTACTGCAGACTGTACAGGGGTGTGACAGCAGTAAGGTGTTTCCCTCATACAACCAGTATCTGCAGCAACGCTGACTTCTAGCTAGGAAGGAAGGGCTTAGAAAAGGTCGACCCTGGAAATGTCACACCTCACCCTACCTCACGGATTTCCGTCTCCGGTGGTAAGGGCTTTAAAACAAGAACGGAGCTAATACTCTAAAAACCTTTCATAAAAAGGCCGTGCGTGACCGGCCTCAAGCAGTTGTACCTTGGACTCTGCGGTCACGCCCCCAGGTCGTTAGGTCCAACACTAATCTACCTTCCTTTTCAGGTTCTTCAAGAAACACCCTTCCATGGACATACCCAAATGGGCAATACATAATATTTTGATTTTTAGCAAAATCCCGCAATCCAAAAACAATGTTTGATTTTATATACAAAGCGTTTGCCAGAAAACATTGTGTAATAACGATTCGATTTCGAATACTTTGAAAATGTTGAACCGATAGATAAACTGATAACTTGCTGAGGAGCACCAAATGAAGCCTAACCAGTCAGCCAGTCAGTTACAATGTAGAACTTCGTACATGAGTACATAAGTTCGAATTTTCATACAGCATTAACACAGAGACGAAACTGTCAGTTCAAATTCAAGAGTGATAGCGATAGTAGAAGCATTAGCAGTAATGGAGAAGATTAGGTTTCGAAGATATGATTCGAGAAGTATAATTCAGTGAGATAACTTTAGAAAGGGAGGGATAGAGATGATGAGGAATTCAGGTTAGAATTTGAGAAAATAACGCCTAGAGATCTTCAGTCTATTGGGATCCTTTGAGGGATAAACTGTGGCTCATAGAGGAAACTCTTAACCGTACCAGTTGCCATTCCGAAGTACCTAAATGATTTATTTATGATGAATAAAACCTCTTTGTAACTGACAAAAAGAATGACAACTACCGTTAAATATGCAGTAAAAAATGGTTGGAAGTCATTTAAAATGAACTTTATAATTTTTGATGAAGCTAGTTATTCAGAAAGTTCAAAGTTTGTGTACTGAAGTGGCATGTGAATCCTTCTAAATTTTGGTGATAATTAACTAACTCATTTTACCTACAACATTATGTATTCACAAAACAACCACAAAAATCAAACAAATACATCTCAACACGCAACAAACCGAAGTTGGACTAAAACACCACTACTGTGTTCAGTGCAAATTACAGCTTTACCTAGATTTCTATGGTTGTAAGTCCTGAAACAGTCATCAAGTTAGGCACTACTATTATAAGAATTGTTCATAGACACGTTCGCCACCTGGGAGATTAGCAGTATCTGAGTCGCTTAAGATAATTTTTAAACCTCAGAAACAAGAGAAGGAAAACAACAGTCAAAAATGGGTAAAAACGATTAGACTGCTTACCAACTTAGCGAGAGTATTTTCATCGAGCTTTGAGGATTCAGGTGGCATTCTTAGGTATTCTGGGAAGCTGTTTGAATGAATATTTAGGGCGAATCAACAATATTTCCTGAAATGAAAATATCACAACAAATTTAAGTTGCATGACTACTGAGGTCACCTGAAACTAACACACATAATTACAAAAATCTTGCATCACTGTTAGACAAATCGACTCGAGAAAATTACCAAATATACTATCGGAAGTATAGGGTCAAACGGTGGTAATATCTATTACACCGGACTTCATAGCTTGATAATGTTAGGGACAGTTGAGATTTCCTAATTAGAAGGTAAGGGATAACAACCATGCACACTTAATTTCTATACGTAAAACATGCTAATTCCTTACGAAATCAATTTTATCGGAACATGATCAAGTTTATCTACTGATCAGAATACTCAACATCGAAATCCTATACTTGGTGGGAGCGATGCAAAATGATGAACACGAAAGCAGTTAACCTTATATCCTAGGGAGGAGTTGCAGTACTAGTGCAGATATTAGTTGTATTTACAGTCAAACAACGTCATAGATGCTTGATCCAAACTAATGGGGTTAAGCAATATCACTTGTGAAAAGTTTCGGTAGCATTTGTTAAGTTTATGAACTACAGAACCTATGCATAAATATAAATAAGTATATTAAAGATTGTTCATTGTTTCGTTTACGTCTAGCTTAAAGAAAACTAACCTAACGACTATGTAAACAGAATTCACTCGAAATTAGCAATTGAAGCGACCGACAACTAGTAACAATGTAAAGTTGAGGTGCTGATGATCGAAGATAGAATCTAGAAGAGTTGCAACTCTAATGGCAGAAAGTGGGATTGGGGTAAATGGACTAATGAGATACATACAGTTTCACTGCCTGAGTTTCAAAAGTTGGGATATCACATAAACTATTCGTTTATTCAACAATTCCAAGTCAAAAGAAGTTTCTACCCTATTGTAAAAGCTAAATTGCGAAAATCGAAAAGGCGCGAGACCGAGAAGAAACAAAACGGTGTTCAGAAAACCTTATTAGTCTAACCTGATGCACTTAAACAATCCACTGGACGATTTTTAAATCTAAGATCTGTTTGATATTTCGAGTAAGTTAGTTAAATGATGAATAAATGAGATTAAATTGAACTTATATATACATAGTATAATGGATAAGTCATCGAAATATTTGAGACACTAATATTAAAGCGAATAGGATGGATGTGTACGTAGGCGGTAAGCAATGTTCAGTCATACCGCCTTTACAAACCAGACAGTAATCGTGGACAGTGGTAGATATAAGTTACTGTCATACTAATGACTTAGTTAAATGAGGTAATTAAAAGGCCTGACCAAACTAAATATGAACAAACTCAAGTGTATGTGGAGGTACTACATATTGATGATACATGAATGCTTGGGGGATGTTCAGACACCCAAATAAGCATCTGTTAGAAAGATTCATAAATGGGATATTCGAATCAATAACGATATGATAAGCCTCAACGTCCTGCCCGAGCCTTTAGATAAACTAATCAATCTATCCTCCAAGTGTTAATATTTGCAAGTCTCTTGTCATTGTTAATTAATAACATTCTATGTTATTAATTGAATATGTTTGTCTACTGCCTACTTCGCATGATTTATCCTCTTGACTGATCCTTGCGCTCCTGGAATAAAGAGTATTTTTAATATCTTTATATAGAATAATTTCGATGTTGCCACATAATGTGCATTCACAGTGAATCAGGGAATATCCGGCTTACTCCAGTCTCAGTTCCAAGAAAAATCAAATCCCTCCTCCGAGACAAGTTACCAGGATGTGACAATATTTGCTCTTCAGTCTTGAACCAGTGTGCCGAAACCATCAGTTCATCGGCATGTGACAGCTGGACAACCTGCTGGGATCGGAAAATACAGGCTCATATAACATTCCTTGACTTAGCTAAAGTTTGCGTGAGAGTACCCTATGCGCTACAAATTGTGAAGGTTATGAGGAAAGGATTCACTGAAGCACTTCTATCTTGGCTCAGAAAATCCTAAGAGAGTTCATGCGGGGTAGCGAGTCTCGACACTGGGAGTTTCACAGAGCACCATTCTATGTCGACCCTTCCTGGCATTCATTAATAACTTGTTCGATAAAGTCAACCCAGAGGCATTGTCTATGCAGACGATGCCAAGATCTAGATGTCAAAAAGAAACGAAGATGATTCAACTGGGCATTTTGCCCCACGTGACACAAGCAACTTACATTCTCAACAAAAGTCCTTTCCTTAATGTTTCCTCAGAACGCGGTTTAGGTTTATTCACCACTAAAAGCCCCCACACCAGTTATAACTATATAGCGGACGCAGCCAAAGTAAATGCAGCTCTTCATTTTATGTGAAGACAACTTAGTGCTGCCACTCCACAATTATTCATAAGTTTGTTTAGGACATATGCGCGCCCACACCTGAAGGGTTCACAGTGCTTTTGCACCCCCTCTCCCTAAAAGAGACATAAATATCTTGGATCGAGTGTAGAGACAAGCAACGAAATGTGTGATAGGTTTAAAAAATAAAACTTGCGGAGATAGACTTCGGCACTTGGGATTATTCTCACTGAGTTACAGGAGAATCAGAGGTCATCTAATTATGGCACACAACATATTAAGCACGCCAAACCATCCCAACTTCAGCATCTTACCGATGCATCACCACCACACCTCTCGACGTAGCCCTCGAAAAATCACGCAACGAAGAGCGAACACTCAGGTTCGTGCAGAGGTTTTCTCAATAGGAGTCATTGCAACTTGAAATGCTCTCCTTGTCGAGGTGACCACAGCCCCTCAGTGGATAGCATTAAAAAGGGACTTGATAAACACTTACTCACTTACGGATTATCATTTTTCTCGTGGACAATCTGTGCCTGACGCATGTCTTCAGACCTGCTAGTTGTTATTAATGCCATCTCCTCAGATCACTGACTCAACCTATCTCTCTTATTATCTCTGTTTCCTCTCGCTTGCTCCCACAGTCTTCAATATCAATTAATAAACTAATTTATCCATTACTTACTAAGTCCTGAAATCTCAACCTTATGAGTATTAGACCCCCATCTATTGTGCATTACCAAACACATGGAAACGTATCGAAAGAACAAGAATCGATTGCAAGGAAATCAATTGGTTTATACTAACTCGTGAAAACGATATTGGATTAGATTTTGGATATTGAAGTATTGATTAACTGAAGCCTACGTGAATCGACTGGCAATTCATAGTGCTGTAGGAAATCGATAACGAGTATGGCTGTGGGAACATCAGCAATGATGAACGTCCACAGGAACTGTCGTCGGCTGCTCAGGTTGACCACTAACTGTCGTGTACCATAGGTAGGGATGACTGAGCCATTCGCAGTGCGTGGTCGAAGCATCATAGCTTGAGATATGCTGTTACCAATCGCTTAGACAAACTTAGGCACCTGTATCTACTATGTACCTGGAGTTAGTGTGATAGTCGTGCACGTAAAATGAGCGCCAATCTGCGGTGAGGGGCCGACGATTCCGGCATCATATACTCGATGAAATGGCAGTTTCCAGCCTTGTATGGGCTGGGTGCTCGAAAATGGCAGCACCGGACCCGAAGGCACAGTGTAACCACCAACGCAGACCAGTACTCGCTTCCGTAGCCAAAGGTGCTCGCTTGGACCAAAACGTCACAGCTCTACGTAATCGTTACTTAGCTTGGGGTACGTGACGTTCTGAGATGAAGGTACGGCCTCGAGACTTGAGACGGCTATTTTACAGCAACTACGATCCCCTTGAACTGAAAATCGACGGGCGTCAGGGTCTACATTCGAGTGTGACGTGGAGGCGACTTTATAGTTGTTCCTAGTGATAGTCCTCGCAGTTGTTCTATTCGCTATGACAGCAACCCTGGAAAGTGACGTGTCAGCATTTGAGGCGAGCGTTATAAGTCATGGATCACCAATTGTAGTGGGTCGAGTCGTTGTGGACAATGATCACCACTACAGGCCAATTACTTTCCAGTTACCAGGTAAACACCTTGCTAAAAACCAACAGCTATAATAAGGTTGGCCGTATATTTGTTGGCGATCTCGTGATATCGAAATAATACCAAGGTCGTGCCAAAGAATACTGGCGAGACTACCGTGCGTACTACGAGCGAGATGAAGGCCACACGAGCTGGAAGCGGGTGTTTATAGCAGTTAAACAAAGAATAAAGTAAAATATCACTGGTACAATTGGTTACAATGATAAACGTTTGTGTTAAACCAATCGCGTTCACTTCATAATAGTGGAGTCACTACAGGGAGATCCATGGTGTTTTCGTAAAATTCCATGTAATATCATGGCACATTAGGAATGAGGAGAAGAGTAATCGTGAGTAGTCGAAATTGAGCTTATTCGACAGAAGCACCTGCAATCACTTTTTAAATTCGAATTTTAAAGTTGTAGGATGACCACGTGGATGATCACATGGCTTACTCGGTTTAAAAATCAACGCGACTTAATGAGTTACATAAGGTTGAAAATCCCGAACTTTGAGGTAACAGAAATTGAAAAATTTTCCTTTCAAAGATCTATCCGTCGTAAAAATTTCTGTGTATTTCAACAGCATTTTCGTGATCTCACGCTAAATGTTGTCTGTGAAGTGAAACAACATATGTTCCAAAGAATTTCTCGACAGTGAGTGGAAATTATTATAATAAACCTATTCAAAACGGTTATCCCGTAAAGTTCATATATAATAATTTTCAAATGAGAGGAGACGTTACAGCAAGTCACCTGCCCTATAAAGAATGTAATTGTTAGACTTGTATGTAATTTGAATATTTTTTGGTACAGAGGAAAGCATTAATTAAGGGATCAGAAAGTAATGTTTCCTGATTTGTCAACTTATAACAAATAGAACAATAAATGAATATATGCCACAAGTTGGATGTTTTTCTACTTGGTCACTTCACTATCTACTTCATTTGGTTTTGGTAGTATCGATGCAACCGTAACCATTGATTTTACTTGTTATTAGATGTTGAGAAAACCTCACAGAATTAGAACTTAAGCCTTTGAAGTCAACGGGCACTTTGAACTTTCGACGAAACTGGAATGTTTACTATTGTCAATAATAAATGATATTTATTAAACCAATAAGCTATCAAATGGTACTAAAGTGTATTTTGTGTAAAACTTTATTTTTTTATTACTATATTCTTTCACCCATACAATTCTCTGTTCTTACCTACATGATGATTCAATAAATTATAAATAACCAGAATAATATATATATATATATATATATATATATATATATATATATATATATATATATATGAGTTTGGCTCTGTGAGAAGCCAACTAATTACGCATATCATAAATAAGGTATGAACTCCACTAACATACCATAGATAAACAGTTGATCATCACTTTTCTTTCCTCATTACAACAGTTGAAATTCATTCACCGATGAATTCACTGTTATAACTAAATCACGATAAACTGTTACTTAACAGAATAAATTCAGTGGTAACTAGTTCCAGTGGCAATCGATTATCTGCACTTTCTTACAATAGGAGTTTTTCTCCATTATTTTCTAGTATACATACAATAAATACTCTAAATCCATCACTATTAAATTTCAGAATTTTGAAAATACAAATTGTTAAGTCAACATCGAATATTTGTAATTTGAGAAAATGTTTCGAAAATTATGTTTATTCTGTTCATTAGACTTACGTCAATATTTACATACGTTTCTCCGCTCATTGTTTAGCTGACCAATATAGTTAGTTTTATGTTTATTTTTCAGGATGTAATTACATTCATTAGTTTACTTAACAGTACTTTCTTAAAATATAAAATGGGAACATATATTTAATTGTTTTACTTCGTTGCTGAATAAAATTACTTTGAATCATTTGCAAACTTCACGATGAAATTAACTCAACTTTTACTGATTTGTCTTGTTTCATTCGTGTTCTTTGCATATGTTCAATGTGATGGTAAGCAAATTATCTTGTGATTGTTTGTACATGCTGATTTGTAATGGTTATTTTATTTCCTTAGTCTTCATTAGTAAAAAACGAACTAACAGTTTGTATCAGTATACATATACAGAAAAAGTAATTTACACTTGACAATGAACATAAATATTGGTGATCTCATTTTTACAAGTGGTACAAAATCAATGACAATAAATCAGTTAGATTAAAAGTTTATGTCAGTATAAAAAGTTTACGCTTGGAATTCATGTAGTACAGTTTATAACAATGAAAAAAATAGATTTTATCAATGAAACATTCTATTAAGCATAAAGTATGGTCTAGAAGATCATTACTCGACAATGAAATCATATTTATTCTGCCTAAAAGATGACACATCTCGTATTCAATGTCCAAGAGTCGGCTATACATCATCTAAAACCTGATATGCACACAAAGAAACAACCTATGTTAATTAATTACTATGATTACCATGACTTTAATTTTCCTTTAGATTCTTTTATGCCATTTTTCAGTGTTTCCTTTTATGTACTTTTTCGTTTCGTTGCAAAAAGGTCGACCAAAATTTACGCAATTCATTCATCTCGTTATTGTACCATTGTCTTAAATCTAAGGTTATTCTCGGTTAGAACAAACTGTGTTTATCTAATATGCTAAAACTGCAACGTAATCTTTCATCAAACTAACTTGTCTCCATAGCAAATATAAACAAAGTTAAAGCATCAAGGCTTTAAACTCCTGTTTCAAAGTTTCCCATAGGCTACAAACAGTCTCGAAGTTACAGATAACATCATGATCATTAGCACAGTGTTGATATATTTTAGCCAATCAAGTCAAGATTGATGTTCACAATCGGACAGAGAATCAAACGAACAGTCAGAAAGCACAAAATTTGATAATATACACAATATGAGAGATTTATAATATCATCTCTTCTTTAAATAACTGAAATTTAAAGTGAATTACTAATCAATGAACACCACTTCTATTCTGCCGTCAAAGTGTGTAGCAGTCAAGCACGTAAAATTTGACCTATATTTATAGAACGAGGGCATGATAAGCTTTGCTTTGTTATGGGGAAATAACTGCTACTGTAATCTCACCTATGTACACAACCCACTTTTTGAAAACTTTCCGTTGAATTTTATCTCATCGATAAAGTGAGATTACATTATTACTTCTTTGTTTACTTACTCGTTTTGAGTCTTAATTTTAAGTAATAGTATTCATCGTTTAAATCTCTACTTAATATGGTTTCGTTTTTTTAACACATGCATACTTATCCCTGGGTTAAAATGTCTACTGACTAATTTTCTGTCTTTTTTGTATACTGTTTCAAATTCAGCATCAGTCATGACTTCATGAACGATATAATATATTATCCCATTGAGAATACATGTCGTAGCATTCATAAATCTAGTTTCCAGTGCCTTTAATATTTTCGTTGATAGAAGATCTGTTTTGAAGCCTTCTTTCAGCTCTTCTTTGTCGTTCAAAGATATGATTTGTGTAAATAGTGAATTCATCTTTCATGAATGATAAATAATTGTTATCGAATAAATTAATGCGAGAAAATTGCAAGTCGTAATATATTCCACTATTTGACAGCTTCCATGTTAAGTTGCCGTAGTTGACTTTTATTTCAAACAACTAGAAAGAGTATACAAACAAAATTATGAATGGTTACAACTAAAACTTTTCTCATTCGATTGAAAGAAATAGCTACTAGGAATAATAAAATTTTTGGTTCATTGTAAGTCTTTTTTCGAAATAAGATGTTATGTTTTTCAAATGTTGAAAAATGTAATTTGTGTTAAATTCTAGGGGAAGATGGACAAGATAGGTAAGTTATTCTATTCATCTGATATACATCACCAATTCAAATTCGGTTGTCTGTAATATAGTGTTATCCAAATGTTTTAACATTCCGTTTATTAATTCTTCCGTTTGCTAGCAATTATTCACAAAAGCTAGCATTTTTACTACCAGAATATATATAGTTAACTAACTTCTATAAATAAAAATTTTTTTGACTCTATTCATTTAATCAAAGTCAGAGAGAAAATTATTCAGTATTCAATAGTTTACAGTCACATCTAAACATTGGATAATTAATGATGGATTTACTTATGCATAAGTTTATTTATTCACCAATGTTAGTATGTTAGTTTAAATACTCGCCTAGTGCATATTAGATCACAAGTTCAGTCATAACTTTATTTCATACAATTAATCTAAATAATATGTAAGATTTTGTTTTTGAGCTTCGTAATATATATATATATATATAACTGATAGTTGAAGAGTTTCGACCCTGACTGCATCTCATCAAGTACACAAGGTAGTGTATAGAATAGTGAATTACCTATTCAGCTTCAAACCAATTTTCATTTCCGTTTTTTAGTGAAAATGGAGAAAAGTTAGTTCTATATTAAGATTAACGACAAAAAGAATTCACATTTATTTGAGCACCTACTAAATGGGTATAGTTCAGTAAAAACGTCTGATATTTTTGTTCGAAAATTGGAATGAATTATAAACTGACTCAAAGATTAGTGGATTTCACTAACAGAATTAGTCCAATTTTTTCAATAAGCTATAAAATATTGCTTAGGAACTTATTTGTTTATTTCATTTAAGCTATAAATAAATAAATGAAATGTTTGTTATGATGAAAACAAACGAAGTTAGATGAGTAAACTAATGGATGCTGGTTCAGTGGTCTAAGGGCCAAGCGCTCTCGATAAAACCTTCAGCTCCTGGGTTCGATACTCAGTGAGCTGGTGAATAAGTACTGCACATTAGCACAAAAACAGTGACCACAGATCCCATGGTTTTTAATGATTGTCTAACTAAATTTAATCTATGAAGTAAACTATGAATTGATTAGAGTCAAAGGGAACACATCAGAAATGTTAAAACTGAAGAAAAAACTTTTTTTTTTAATTTCCAGTAATAAATGTTATTATTCTGTTGAATTAATTAGATTTTATTAAAATTCAATGACATGTTTGCATTCTTTAAAGTGTGCATCTCAATTTGTATTTGAAGAAATGATTACAAAATGAAATTACATAACTGTCAAATTAACATACATTTCACTTGTTAATAATTTGACATAATTTATCAGAGTTCCTGTTCCTTTAGATAATGATGGTGTTTCATTTACATTTTGTAACACACGATGTCTTAAAGCCACAGATATTCAGTTTTTACAGCCGAACATTATCATAATGATGTAACCCTATATGATCTACTTAGTAAACCGAAGAATGGAGGCACCATAAAGCTCCTATATATGAAAATATACATTGGTAGATTAGAATCCAGTTTTTAAAACTTAATTAGTAATGTCCAAATGAAAAATATATCATAACTGTTAGCTGCAATTAGGTTTACTGTTTTGTTTTTTTCGTTCACCTACAGTGTAGATTTATTTGGCTTTAGCGTTTGAATAATTCATTATTAATTAAAACAGTTTAGAGAAATGCTGGTTACAATTTTGCCACCTCTTTTTTTGTTCAATTCGACACATAGTCCGCCAGAGTATGTTTTTTAAATCAAATTTTCAATAAAGCAGATCAAATGACACGAAGCTCATTCAAAATGATTTGATGTATTAGGATTGATTCAAATAGTTTCAAATCTATCTAATTTTTCATCTATCCATTTTTCATCCGTCCTACTATACGTATGCGAAACATGACCGTTAAGGGTAGAAGATGTTCGTAGGTTACTAGTATTCGATCATTGGTGTCTTCGAAGCATTGCTCGTATATCGTGGGACGATCGTATAAGCAATCTGTTGTTAGGAAACGGGTGCTAGATAGGGATGGCAGGTCAATAGATGAAGTAATGAAACTGCATCAGTTGAGGTGGTTGGGACATCTGTTACGTATGGCTAACCACCGACTGCCGCGACGAGCTATGTTTTGTGGTGTAGGAGTAGGTTGGAAAAAAGTTAGGGGCGGCCAAACCAAAACATGGCAGAAATTCATGAAGTCACTGACTAGTGGACTGAGTCATGTTGGTAGATGTAGGCTATCTGGTTGGGGTCAGCGAGACGAAAGTCACAAATGGTTAGAGACCTTGAACGACATGGCTCAGAATCGTTTTCAGTTGCGCAGGTGAATCCACTCTTTTTGTGCTTTTTAATTCTAATCATCTGAATTCCTCATAATCTCTATCTTTCTCCTTCTAAATTTATCTCACTGAATAATACCTATCGCTCCCTAATCTTCTTCATTATTGCTAATACTTCTAATATCGCTATCACTGTTGGATTTGAACTGACAGTTGTGTCTTTGTGCTGATGTGGTATGGCAACCTGAACTGATGCATTTATGTACGAAGTTCTGAGTTGTATCTATCTATCTGTCTGTTTGTCTGGTAATTAGTCCATAGAAAAGATATCAACTAGAATCATCTCACACATATTTTTAAACACTTCATAATAGTTATGAACAGATTCAAAATTGTACATTAAAGTTTTTAAACATGTTTACCAATAAACTAAGTCAGTTTTACTTGATAGAATATTGTTATGAAGCAATAACGCATTGCAGTAGTAAATTCGTTAATCTTAATTCAATGAAAATTGTCAATGTTTGTTTTATTCATTTAATTATTCAGTCAAGACGTGTATGTAAACGAAATTTTAACATTCACTGTTTTTATTGTGTAAAAATGATAAGAACTTTAACCGGTCGAGTTATTCAACCATCTCTTATTTGTTACATGTATATCGCATATTAGTTTGTTCAGCATAAACTTCATGAATTTTCTATACTCTATAAATAACAAACTAAAATAAATCTTGAATGAAAACTATAGTTTCGAATATACATTTGAAAGCGTCAGAATTACTAGTGTAGATTCTGTCAAACATTATTGAGCAGTTTATTTTTAATACACTGTTATGCATAAGTCGTGAAAGTACTTAACAGATTCTGATAGTCACAACTGAACATTCCAATGGAGCAACTAACAACTATTACATACGAAGCTGATAGATCATCATTAACTTAATTGTGTTATCATGTTTCTTGATTTGATTCTAGGCCACGTGGAAAACATCCGTAAGTTTGATCTAATTAACGTGAATTCCTTTATATATTTGACAATGTGATAACATTATATTATGTTTGCGTACGACTAACAGACTATCATGATGAAGTATCCTTTTGTTAAGAAGAATGTTTGGAAGTTTTCGCTATTGAATACAGGGTGAATAGTTCATCATCTGCCATTGAATTAGCATTCACTATTCAATCCATAACCCAAATTTAACGGATAGTTATGCGTGAGCTCTGTTTATTACAGAAATATTTTGTTTCAATTAGTTTGTTATGTCAATGATTAAGTTCACTGATGACTGAAGTTAACCAATTACATGGAAAAGAGAGAAAGAAGTAGTTTAACAGTAGTTTACTGATGAAGATGATTGTGATATTCCAAATTAATATCACTATATATATATATATATATATATATATATATATATATATATATATATGTTTGATTGATGATTTCAAATGTGTAAAAACACGAACCTCCAAAACTCTGCCCCAAAATATCGTAACAGTGCTCACTAGTGACTAGCTTCGTGAGGAAATTCTCGGAGTTCTAGTTGAGAAGACGTGACCAATGGAGTTCAACCCTGTCGGGTGTAGGCAGTAACTACCAAAGACAAATTGGTGAGGTCGCGCAAAATCCCTAGATCAATCAGAGTTAGACATTAACACCGTTGGATGCCGACCCAGTTGTCCGATGGTAAGGCGTTCGCCTACAATGCCGAACGTCTCGGGTTCCAATCCTGCGAGGAGCAGGAGTCGTGGATGCGCACTGCTGATGAGTCCCATACCAGGACGAAACGGCCACTGTCCAGTGCTTCTAGGTTTCTAATGGTGGTCTAACAATGATTGATTGATGATTTCAAATATATATATGTCCTTGGCTTTAATACTCTACGACAATCACCTTGCACCATCGGAAATTATATATACTCATTATAGCATAAGTCAATAGATCTAGATGCCTAAATCTTCCAAATCTGAGTTCTTTAATTAGGATTGAAAAAGCGGAAAATTAGAAACAACTTATCTTTTGGAAGTGACTGATGATATGACATATTAAAGTATTTATTTGTGATCAGATAATTTTTTAATATTGAAATTGATGATAATAGTTCCAAAAAGAAAGTAAAACCGGGAGGGGGGCCTCGATTGTACATTTGTTTTCTCAGTTATTCGATCAAAAATTCTCTTCATCAATAAACAGCCACAAATTTAAAGTTGATCCTAAGTACTTTGTTGGTATTACACAGTTTCCTAATAGTCAGATATTAACAAGCTGACTTTCAGTTGACGTATAACCAATTAATTTCACTATCTAATAATAAATACTGAATTTTACTAGTCTTTAATAAATGACTCAAGGATATTACTACTACAGCTTCATTTTATGATACAGAAATTAATTAGTTTATTTCACAAGAGAATCGATGCAAAATATAACTGTTAGTGAATGTGAAGTTATTTGTAAGATCGGGATCTTCCTGTATAATATATTACCTAGGTTAGTTGATAATCTCATTAAACTTGTAGTGAATGCATACATACATGGATGGGACAATTCACTACATGCAACGGTGAATGTGAAAATGATGAATATTTCACATTGAAAATAAATAATATCATTAATTTAAACAAATTTTTAAATTCAATATAAAAAAAAACTCACAAGCTCCCGGTTATCTTTATTATTATTATTCAATTATTAACATTTATAAAAGATTTGAATTGAAATGTCCTTGTAAGCCGTAACTTATATTTTCCCTATAACTGTTGAAATTTACAGAACTTTAAGAAAAGTATTTTTGTAAGTCGAAAATATCATCCGATCATACTGATATAGAGCATAATATCTGTTGATTATTGAAGCCGATAGATTTGGGAATTTAGTTAGCCAAAATATTTTTTGAAAGAAACAAGAAGAAAGATAAAAAAAATAAAATAATCAATGAGCTAGTAGTTAAATAAAGAATAGAATTCTTTTTTGCAAAATATTTGTTGTGTTAACAGAATTTACAGTTTTAAGCGAAATTAGTAGTATTTATTGAATGCTATTGATTGTGGACAAATCATCGGTTTACATATTGCTGAGAATCGAAAATATTCGAAAGAAAATAATATTATACCGTAAGACAGTTTTGACTAGGAACATGACTGTGACAAACACAATGAATAATATCTTACGGCTGATAAATCTAAATCTTACTATGAATTATACATTTAGTCGATCGATGAAGAGTTTTGGTTTCTACAGCTGTTATTGATTTCTGTGAGCTAGACAGTTTACTTGTCTATGCGTTCAAGGTAACAATGTTTTTTCTGTTGACCATCGATCAAGATATTGGTTTGCCCTTTCCAAATGAGCTAGTGGGTCGGGCTTAGATCGAAATAACCACTGGTAACTGATTGGTCTGAACACCATATTTCGAAAAGTCTAATGGGCTCCGGAGAATTCTCGATATCCAGAATCTTGACTTTCTCTAGTGGAATTTACACCAGCAGTTGTCAATATGCATTGATATCAGTGATAGTATATGGGGTCATTTTAGTGACAGCTTATGTTTGTGTTTTAGCGGGTGGAATGGTCATTCTCATGACAAATGACAAGTATTTGTAAACGCCAGTTCATCTAATTAAGAAATTTTCACGTATGAAGATAAAACAATCTGCCAGAAGCGCGATTGATTCTAATATTATCAAGATTTTATCACTTTGTTAGTAAATTTTATTATTATGATTAAATTGACAGTTCAAAGTGTAGAATCATAAAATTTCTGGCCAGAAAACAATTGGCACATCATTACTTAAGGCATCAGTCAGTCAGTCAGAGTCAGTCAGATGCAACGTAGAACTTCGTACGTAAGTACATCGGTTCATGTCGCCATACCACATCAGCACAGAGATGTAATTGTCAATTCAAATCCAATAGTAGGTTTTGGTTTGGCCGCCCCTAGCTTTCTTCCAACCTACTCCTACACTACAAAACAAAGCTCGATGAGGCAGTCGTTGGTTAGGCATACGCAGCACATGTCCCAACCACCTCAACTGATGAAGTGTCACCACTTCATCGATTGATCTGCCATTCTTACCTAGTACCCGTTTCCTAATAACAGCGTTGCTCACTCGGGTGTCCCACGATATACGAGCAATGCTTCGAAGACACCAATGATCGAAAACTAGTAACCTACGAACATCTTCTACTCTCATTGGCCATGTTTCACAGCCATAAAGTAAGACGGAGCGAACCACTGCGCAGTACACTCGTCCTTTAGTCAGCAAACGAATATCTAGCCTACGCCATAAGTGACGCAGGTTGGCAAAAGCCAATCGAGCCTTCTGTATCCGAGGTGAGATTTCGTCAGTCACCAGGCCATCAGCACTGATGAGACTCCCAAGATAAGTGAAGCGGTCTACACGTTCGACTATTTCACTCCCCATCACGAGTTCAGGTGACGATGCAACCCAGTCTTGAAACAACATTTTGCATTTCGAGGGGGAAAACCGCATCCCGAACATGCTTGCATTGTTGCTTAGGTTAGTCAGAAGACTGCATTTTGTCAGCGTCTTCACCAAGTAGGACTATGTCATCGGCATATTCTAAGTCAATAAGCGAGCCACCTGGTAAAAGGTCTACTGAAAATTCAGACGAGGATAAGGTTATTTCTAGGAGCATGCCTTTGATAAAATTAAACAAGAATGGAGAGAGTGGACATCCCTGACAGACACCACTTGAAGTAGAGAATTCCGTTGACAGTTCACCAAAGGCTCTTACTCGACCAGTGGTGTTCGAGTTGAGAGCTTGTATAAGGTTAATATACTTCTTTGGTACACCTTTCAATGACAAACACTGCCACAGAACCTCACGATCCACTGAGTCAAATGCCGCCTTTAGGTCCAGGAAAACAACTATTGTAGGACGGCTAAATGTGTGTCTGTGTTCCAGGACCTGTTGTAGTGTGAAGATGTGGTCTATACAACCACTTCCAGATCGAAAACCAGCCTGGTTTTCTCGAGTCTGCTCTTCACGAGCTTTCGTTAGGCACCGAAGTATTATTGAGGCCAATATTTTAGATACTATATTAGTTAGACTTAAAGCATGAATCGATCCTGTCACTTATGTAGTCATTGGTTTCAAAGAGAAGTATACTAGTTAAAAAAATTTAACATAGAGCCAAAAAGATAACTTTTCTACATTTCCCAAAATTCCTAATACCTTTAATGCATTAAAATACACATTCAATAAAAAATAATGATAAATTTTTTTTCGTTTAGTCATAGTTTTAATTTAACTTCCTGATTCTGTACAACGAAAAACATATCATAGGTAGCGTAAAGTTACATTGATTAAAAATGGGGCACTAATGCAAAAAATTCCTTCTTTTGTATCACTTTGTTAGAAGTGCACCTAGTTGGATGCAGTAAGTCTATTGTTTTGAATGAATTATCTATTAGGATTGAATGGCGATTTTGTTCGACATTCGACGTTATTCAAATATTCTTCATTGTTGAACATAACAATATACTAAATTGCTAATTTGACCATTGGTTTGAAACGATAATGAAATCAATCAGCTGTAGTTAATCGTATATTCGTATTCCAGCATCTTAATCGATGTGTTCAAAAGCGACAATGGAGTATTTAAACAAAATAAGAATATTTAGATGTACAATGAGACGGGACGGTTTTTGTAAAGGATACTAAACCTAGTCAATCATACACGGTCGAAATAGTTATTATTCATTCTTTGAACTGTCGAAATATTTAAAACCAAGCACGAAATATAATTCGGCTGTATTTTTTCTAAACGTCAAATACAATTACACAATCATTAATAATTGAATTTCTGGTAAAAACAATGTCGGTCAAAATGTTCAGAAAAATATATGTAAATAACGAATGAATATGGGGAACATCACCATGAAACTGTACAACAGGTCAAGCAAAGCCTTAAATGGCATAATAGATCTACTGATTAGAATGAAATATCAAACTAAAATGCATCTGTAACTTGTTGATTTTATTCGTTTCATTTTCAATTTTATTCAGTATACCATTTTCAATTCTCGGGTACGTCAAAATATAATTATTTTATCATTGTTATATACATAAGTAAACACAACAAACGAAAATATTCAATATATAATGCAATCTCATAAAATGAAGGATGAATAGGGTGTCTTATATTCACATTGTTAGGTTCGTCACTAAGTATGCATGAAACTATGACGGGTTCACCTGAGTCGATAAACGAGAACGTGATAATGAACCAGCGTCCAGGTAGACTACCTTGATCCGATGACCCAAAACAACTAACGAGAAGTCTTGATATAGCATAGAAAGTATATTGTACAAACACACAGCAAGCACATTGCAATCAAGCAAACAAATCGCGTTTATTTATACATCATAGAAACGTCCTTTGGGAGAGTCACAAAAAATAGCACACTAAAATACACAGCAGCCAATCACAGCCAATGATTTTCCTGGTGGGAAATGAAATCTCAAAGTCAACTGATCAGCCTATACTTGCAAACGTGAGATCCAAAATTAAGGCATTTATCAAGTGAGTTCTGAGGATCTAACGTCCCCAACACACATGTAAAACAAAAAATTGAAAAACATGTAAATAACCTCTGTTTTTGTTCGGGAAATTTAAAATTGAGTTTTATTTTAACCGATATCATAAGAAAAGCCATGTAGAAATACATTTCTGTATTACTCAAAGTGTTTTCTACCCTAACACAGTAGAAATGATAGTGTGAAGAATGAAATGGCTATATAGACTGTAAACAATGCAATGAGTTTTGATCTAATGTCTTTTGTTTGCATCAGAATATCAAAGAAATCACTGAATTAATAGTCATTCATCGAACGACAAACTAGTTTGTAGTAGGAAAGTTCCATTCAAGAACTGTAATTGTTTTTCTAATTACAAGAAATAACATTTTTCATTCTAAATCAATTTTATAAAATTGATGTTTAGTTGTCGGACGATAAACAAACCTGGTTTAAACTGATCTTAAAATCATCAAGTAGATAAATAGTGGAATAAATTTTCTGAAACTATTTCTATTATTTCAGTCATACTAAGATCCTTTTATCAACCAGTGAACATTATTCCTGTAGACTATTGCGAAGTTAACTAAATAAACAGCCTTCAGTTTAATTATATTTAATTTGTACAATGGAAATTGTTGGGGACGTTCGATCCTCAGTACTCGCTCAATATATGTCTTAATTTTGTATTTTATTCATGGGCTGACCAGTTGACCTTGAGATTTCATTTCCCACCAGGAAAATCATTGCCTGCGATTGATGGCTGTGTATTTTAGTGTGCTATTTTTGTGACTCTCCCAAAGGACGTTTCTATGATGTATAAATAAACGAGATCTGTGTGCTTGATTGCAATGTGCTAGCTCGGTGTTTGTGGGATATACTTTCTACGCTATATCAAGACTTCTCGTCAGCTGTTTTGGGTCAAGTGATCAAGATAGCCTTCCTGGACGCTGGTTCATTATCTCGTTCTCGTTTATCGACCCGTCATAGTTTTAAGCATATCAAGTGACGAGCATAACAGAGAAATAAACAAACTCAAACAAGACCATCATAGATTAGAAATCATCAATTCAGTTCATAGAAATATTAATAACCATCTAACTACTTAGAACACATTGAAAAATCTCAATCTTATCCAATATAACTTTAAAACAACTAATTTTATCAAACCTTGTAAGTGATATGCATAAGGATCATATATTCTTTTTCTTATGTAAAATACAGAGCGATAGCATCATACTATTAGTAAGTTTAGATCTTAATAGGTGCTTCTCAATGATTAGAATGTTTTTTTTAAATATATATTCCAAAAAACAAAACCTTTGTGTTACGCGCTAAATTTAAAAAATAAACTAATTCATGTTTGGTCGGATGGATTAGTCTATGATGTTCCTTACTCCATTTAATTTATTTTCGATCCCTGAAAACATTTAATTATTTTGACGCTCAGAATTCCATCTGTATTAGTGTTTTTTATTGTGTTCTTTTCATAGTTAAATCCACGTAAACGATTAGTCTGACTAAGTCAAATCACAAGAGGTTTAATTTCAGTTATATTATTCACTTAATCAATATGAATAAACGCAAGTTAAATTACAGTAGTAACAGAAAAACTAATTTATTTCGGATACATTCAAATTAAACGTTCAACAGTTATACTGTAGATAGCAGTGCACGTTTTCATTTCATACATGCAGCTGTCAATGAGTCAGTGTTCATCTAACATGTATTTAGTTCTATACATTAACAAACTATCGCTTATTGGCAATTAATTTTTCCGTACCAATTGATAGTTTAACTTGAAAAGCAAGACATTTCAAAGTTTAAGGCTACTAAGTGTGTGTGTGTGTGTGTGCGTAAAGTGTTCTATAAATCTTCCTGAGACAAATTAAACCACTGTCTACTACTAATGATGCAATGAGACTTTAGTGAATATATTTCTGATTCTTTCAATCACAAAGACAAATTACAAATATTAATTTCTGAAAGCTTGTAAAACGTCATTCAACTCAATTATTGTATTTTCAATTGTATTGAAAGAATCTCGATGGAATAATGTAGTGTAATGAATAAGTTGTGAATTCAGAATGATGATCAATTCAAGCAGACAGATTTTCTTATTATCTTCTGTATTATTTCAACATAATTTCCTGATTCAATAAACAGAATAATGCTGACGAATATATAAATTCTTGTGTCTAATGTTTAACAAAGTTATTCTCAACTAACTATCATTCGTTATTTAGAAAATAAGTCATTCTAATTGTTAACACGTATGAATAGCTCCTTGAGTTTCTCAATGAGGATAACATCCAACTTCTACTGTGTCAAAGCGTAAGCATTTGTCCTAACTGTTTATTACAACACTCTCTCTTAACAAATGGAATACGATGTAGGAGAAATATCAAGTCATTGAAAAAGTGTTTAATCACTCTTACTCTCTAAATTTCAGTAGAAATATTCATAAACTCTTTCGTGTGAAAATATTTACATGAATTAGATTGATCAACTTTTATGTGATACACTCATATAGTCCATAAGACATATTACTCATCAATGATCATTAAATTTTTGTGTTCAATTGTCAATTATCTACAGATGTGTTGATGCAATTTGTTGACATTTCACTAACATTGAACTGTTTTCTTTCCTTTTTTTAAAAAAAAATTAATTTTCTAGCTACCATTTCTATCAATAAACCATCTTCGTATGAAAACAAAAACATGATTTGGTTTTGTGCAAAAGTGAAATTTTGTTAATGTCAATGATCATTCTAAAATACAACTAAAAAAAGACAAAAAAAATTGTAATAACTTTATTCGATATATATATATAAAAAAAATTAACTGATACGTTTTTGTATTGTTAATTATGAAATATGTATATGAAAGTATTTTAAATTATATAAGAAATTTGAAATTATTTCTTTCAAATTGTTTCATACTAAAAAAAGAAGAAATAATAATAATAGTAAAAGAAAATAGAAATTATTATTGAACATTGATCATGACAAATTTTGTGTTGACATTGACATAGTTCAATATTTAGACTACCAGTTAGTTGCGTTTAATGTGACAAGACATTGTCATAATTTTATTGTGTATTTAACTAATCAATTGGTGAACTAAATAAATTCTACGATCTATATGCATATATAGTTACTTTTTTGTAGTTTATTCCTTGGTTCTATCATTTTTAGTCATTAAACAGTTTTCTATGGTTAATAATAAAAATTGAAGCAATGATGAAACTCACTCATAAGACAAAGTCTGATAAAAATAATTATTTCACTAAACTTACATTGAAATAAACATCATTCGTTAATGATACAATGTTGATATTTGACTTTATGAAATTCTCTGACTTTACTTAAGACATGAAATCTTCATATGATTTGGGGCAATATATATAAGCAATTCAAATGGTCTACGATTAACGTCTTAAGGTAGTGTTTGGTTCTCTGAGCTGGTTGTTTTGGTTGTGAAGCTTTCATTGTTCTTCTGAACAACATCATCAGCATAAACTTCAGATAGAAGTGAAGTATTCAAATTTCCTCACGTCTGATCTGTAGCTTGTTCTGCTAACCTCGATCTTGATTGGTTGTTGTTGACCTATGTTTTGATTGTATCCTCCTTTTGATGTGTTTCTTGATCCTATGTCAACTATGATTTTTCTGATTGGTTGATAAATTGGTTCAACGTCGATGTGTTTGTTGATTGCTGATTGACCTGAGTGCCAAGCTTCTAAAAATTCTCTAGTGTTGCTTTTCCTCCCCGTATTCAATATTTCCACATCGTCCCAATCGAATGTATGCCGATAATTGTCGTGGCTGTCCACTTTGTCCTATCCAGTGTTTTTCATAATCATCCACCTGAGCTACACATTTTCTCCACCATCTCGATTAACGTCTTAGTTTTAAAACATCACATCAATTAAGTTTTGGTCATAACGTTCTCCAGAACATTAGATCTATCTCATTGTCTTATAACATTCATTATGACCACAAGTAAGAAACACCATTGATTAGCAGCCATCATCTTTTATTTTGTACATGAATTGAATCATCAACCCTAAAGTTTGAAGTGTTTATAATTTTACAACTTAATATAAGATTATAGAGTAAGCTGTCATTGGCGACTGATCATCACACTACAATTGCAACTGTCCAATCAAAGATTAAAAGTTATTGCAAAAACAGGTCAAAATTATCATTGGATCATAAACAAATACCTTCGCATTAAAGAATAAATTACTTTGCTATTTGCAGTAATTACCTAAATATTCTTTATTTACTACTTCCATCTTTTTCAGCATTATTATATTCATCCTCGTTAGTCTTGGTGTTCTTTGTTGATTTGTCATTCTTTTTATCGGCTCCTACCTTATTCTTCTTTGTCAATATGTCACGACTGTAACTTTCTTTCACTGGATAGAATATAGTTCAAGCAACATGTGTTAATATTTAACAATCAAGAGAGATACACTATTTATTCTAATGTTGAAGTTTAGAAATCACTGAAAATGTTCACTTATTTATTTGAAAATAAAAACAAGCGTCAACATGAATAATGTTTTGTACAGATTATAATTTCAATACCAAAATCAAGAAAAAAATATATCTCCACACCCGTATTAATACTGAGTTTTGTGAAGCGTTAGAGTTCACTATAGGTTTTATGTCATTGACTAATCTATATTTTCTAACTACAAACCAATCATTAAATAAGTGTCTGAATAATAGATTAGTCGAATATGTTTATGGTATGATTTGTTCAAAGCCAGAAAATCCATCGTCAATGTTTTACTTGAGTTTTTACATCATATAACTTTCACTTATTGTTTTCGTGAACTCTTTCAAACAATTTTATCTAAATTGAAATTTTACTGTCTATATATATATATATATATATATATATATATATATATATATATGTATATATATATATATCATTATTGCAATATATTACGTAACTGTAAAATGAACTGCAAAATAGTTATTTTATCTGCCAGATTATTAAAATTTTTCTATCAAATAATCAGTGTAATTACATAAATCCGAGATGAATGATGAAAGTTTTTCGACACTGCAGAAAATATTGATAGATGAACACCGGTTTATTGAATTAATTAGTTAGTTATTTATTGATTGATTCAAAAACCTCACTTACCTCTTACATGCCTAGACTCGGTGAATTCAACAATTAGTAGAATGAATATAGTGAACAAAATCCATTTCGCAGAAGTATTCAACATAGTCAACCAGTTTGAATAATGCCACTGAGTAAAATAAACATATATATATATATATATATATATATATATATATATATATATATATATATATATATATATATATATATATACATGTATATATATTCCAAGAAAGAGTAGTCACTTATCGATTCTTTGAATTTCAATAAATCCTACTTTTTCGGTGAGTTACCCCTACTGTCACAAGATAAACTTGTCAGATATTTTGATTTAAAAGATTTTTTAGCAATTTTCTATTCAATAAAATACACTGTCACTCGTATGCCAAACAAACTGATCCATAAACATGACCAGTGAATATTGATAATTGCTGATTTCTGTCAAACATCATGAATGACAGCAGATCCTGGACGCTCAAAGTTGATTAACTCACAAGAATTCAGAAATCAGCGGATACGAATTTCGCCGTTTAAAAATGTGATTGATCTTTGTAAGACAATCATTTAAAACTGGAAAGCATTGAACAGTTGTTTTGTATTTATTGATAGAACGTCAATATTCGTGATTGTTATTGTTTTTTAATCTGTTTGTATTAACTGATTTTACGTCATTATCTTTATAATGTGTTTATGTTAATCGATTAAGCATTTATTTGCAACCCAGTATTCATGAGCATGATTAGCTAAAATTCAAATCAATTAAAACTAATTATTCATTTTAATTATTAATTTTGTCATTTATTATCTGAAGGAATTGATGAGAATTTTGTATAAAAATGTTTCGTTAACATATTATTTTAATATAATGTAAGTATTCCGATTAACAAAGAACTGTTTAGCGTCGCCTTCTTCGACGATTCGGTCAGTTAAAACCAGTTGAATAAGCCATAATTGAACTTTGTAAATAAATCTATCCTAATCAATACAACGTTAAGTTTGCTAAATTTTTTAAGATTAAGACCACCATTAAAGACCTGGAAGCACTGAACGGCCGTTTCGTCCTGGTATGGGACTCATTAGCGGTGCGCATTCAGTGCTTACAAATTTCAATTGGTGGTCTACCATTGATCGATTCATGGCTCTAAAAATGTGTAATTTAAAAATATTCAGAACCCCGTAATGAAATCAGCAAGTATATAAAGTGTTCAAAAAAGGTTATCAAGAAGACAAAACCTAATTTCAGGGGTATATAACCAGTACTACAATAACATGACATAACATGTCGATAAATGTGAAACAATATCTATCGTAGATTATTCTTCATAATATGATGGATTATATACAAAAATCAAAATACCCAGCGAAAGGAAATAATTGAACACGTAATTCTGTCAATAAGAATGAATGATAGGAAAAAGATAATTAAAGTGGTAGACCATAAATTCAAGCAAATTCAAACAGTTCTGTAAGAATGTAACCAATGATGACAAATAACTTAAAGAGGGACAACATGACTGTTTAAAAAACTGCGCGAAATTCGATGTAAATAGTGATAAAAATTCGCCTTATATTGACTATCATCTCGCTGTCACATATTGACAATGAATAATGCTTGATACTACAGTTTACAGACAGTAATTTACATGACACCTCTTACATGTATACACAATTTGCACTAGATATTTGGCACAAATATGACCTCATTTATTTACCAACAACTCACATCATGTATGCTTAAATGTTCTTTGTAAGTTTATCATTAGTTGACAGCATCAATTTCCTTGTATATTAAATCGCATATGTTTCAGTGATATGATCAGTTCACTCAAACCAAAATCATTCAGACAAGTTTAACAATCACAACAAATGAGTATACATGATCTGTCTAATACGAGAAGACAAATACAATGTCAAATGTCAAGTTTCCTATTGACTGCCAATAATAAAATTAATAATTTGACAATCATCGAAATTCGAATATGATAGAGAAAGTGATGGTTCGAAAGAACCATGACAAATACAAACACTATCTGTTCGTCATCTTTTCTATTGAATCAAATATTGAAATTTCCGAAACTCAACGTATATAAAAGCTCGCAGTGAGTTTTGATTTGAATATGAATTCTGTGTAATTGCAGTTTCGCAGTTGAAAATATACTGAAGTTTCCTCAGCAGACTCAGGTACTCACATGTGTCAGATGTATTGTTTATGTTGTAGACGTGGTTACTTACTTGTCTCAAAGCTTCATCATACCACAAATGAAAGTGATCATATTCACCTTATTATTATCATTGATGTGTTTTGAAGTAGTGAGATCAGAGGAGCATGACGATGGTGAGTTCATGTTTTTACGTATTATGTGTGTTGAAAATCTATCAAAGTAACTTCAATTCACATATAATTAATTTCAAGTAAATAAGCAACCTTTCATGGGACTGTAATGACTCTCGGTGTCTGAGACAAATGCTGACACTTAACCTACTCACTATACACAAACCTCAACCAGCTATAAATGAGAAGACTAGTTGTGGGAATGGAGGTTTTCTGGACTAAACTGAATCCCAACTATGAGCACTGATTAAAATATGCATATATATATTACCGAGAAATTGAAACAGATCCTTTCCCGGTCACATGCATCTGTCTTTTGGAGCTTAATGAAGGTATAATTTGGTGATTTCTAATCAGGACACTATTTCACAAACCTTGGCTATCATAAAAGATGCACTTGAAATAATTCCTATTGTGCCGCGTTCACAGTGCAATGTACGCAGTATAGTGAGTGTTGATAAATACGAACCGTGTGTACGATTGGATAAATCACAACTGGATGATGTTTACCACATGACGCGAAATTGGATTGGTCATCGCGAATAACAACCAATTATCATGATCATTTCGTTCATCAATCTTAACCAGCAT